AAAGTTAGTTGTGCGTCGTCTATACAGTAACGTTATCACCGTCTGATTCTCTGATTTACACCGTGCATTGTAGCCTATAGACGAAACTATAATAAATCATATACAGTTGCTCAAAAACGTGGCAAAGCAGTAGTTTATAAAACACGCGGCGTAATTACAAAGCGCAGACGTTTGTTTGTTATACATATTTCGCTATAGCACCGTCGCAAAAAGAAATGTTAGTGGTTGTGAAGGCTGAGCAGTGGATGGCTCGCGCATGAAGCACGTTCACACAAAGCGAGTTGGAAACAGCTGTTTTATAAATACAACCATCTCATTTCGTCGAACATTAAGATAGTAAAACACTTACAAAAGCATGACATACCTAATTTATGAAGGTATATGTTTAGTAAAACGCTACATGTGTCTTTTATTTGTGCTCCGTGGTAAATCTTATCGCCTCCTCTCCCCAGGAAGTGCTTTGAAATTTGGCGCGCCAGGACCAGGACGCGTTTCCTTGCGCGAAAATCAACGCCACTTCCGTCGATGTTGAGGGAGACTGATGTCAATGGAGAAAGACAATGCTGTTGGTTTTTAACCATAGGTGAGCTTTTTTTGTTGTTAACATAATCATTGCGATTATTTTATGTAATAACCGACACACTCTGATGGATACGCTCATTATGACATAATTATTAAATAATTTAAATAAATAATAAATATATATATTTTTATAATTATAAAAAATAATATTTGTATTTAAATGGGAATTACTGAATAACTGCGTGCCTTTGTATATTAATGCTAAAGGATTCATACAGTTTATAGTGTTTATTGAATTTCTAAATAGTAGTAATTATGCATTATAGAAAAAACAAACAGACAAGAACATCAACCATGAGATTTAAGTTTTTTTTATTTTCATCTTTCATTCACAAAGAAAAAAACAAAGTTGAACTAAAGTTGTGCTTGAAGTTAAACTATGAAGCCACATGTAATACTAAATTAACAAAGCAGCCAAAAAAAAATCTTCTGCACCATACTTTGTACACGACTGTGAAGTATTGTTAATATTCATGGTTCTATGGAAGTGTTATTTGCCTGTTGGCTTAAAGCAAATACATCTGTGTGAGTTTCAATGCTCACCCGAAAGAGGAAAAATGCTATGTTTCACAATCACAACTTTACCAAGACAGCTGCAGATGAATAAAGCACTTTGAGAAACCTGTCTCCTGTCCTGAGAACTCTTGCATGTAAGCTGACAAAAGATCAATTTACCAATGAAATCAGCATAAGTCGATGAAGAAAGCACACACTCCTGAGCTCGTTTGATAATGTGATGCCAGCATCTGTGTAAACCGCTGATCAAACCTGAGCAGACTTACAGGATGGACTTGTATTGCAATTGTTCCTATACCCCAAAATATTGACAAGTCTTTTTACCAGTCACTTTTCACTGCGATAAGTGCATACTCTTAATTTGATTTATCCAGCTCAAACTACTCAGGGTAAAAGTTCAATTCACCAAACGCAAATGCAAATTTCAACATATTTAAAAGCAATGACCTTTGTAAATCTGACTCGCACTGAACTTCGAGAGATGAATGCATTTGTTCAAGTATAATCACGTTTAAACACCTGCTTATTAAACATTATTTCTGTCCTAGTAAGAAACAGAAAAAGTATTACCATTTCCTTAGATTGGCCAGCTAACGAGTTTTGATTCTGTTGTGTTCAGTTATGCCTGAGAATTGGAAATGAGTGCATCACTCAAAAACTGTTTTCTGGTCATGACTGGACTGCATCATCCTAAATTTGGCATCCATTATTTGCTAACATTGAAAACAATTTCATATCAGCTGCTAAAATAACATTGACATTAAGAATACTTCTCATCAGAGGCAAAGTAATGCAATGAAGTCTCCTTTCTAGCAGGCAACCTCTAGTTTAGCATGCTTCTGTGATGCTTTTAATTGTGTATATAGACTATCTATGACATCAGCGCATATATAAAGAGAGTATAATTAATAAATAGCAATAATAATATGGTCTCAGTGAAATATATCTTGAGTTTTGCATTATCAAAATCATTCTCAAGTGCAAAGATAAAAAGCAGTCAAAGCATTTTGTTTCTTATTAAAGCATGAAAGTGCTAAAGGTTTCTTGTTTTTTACCTTGAAAAGGTCTTATTTTAAGGGAAATGCATGAGAATCCAGCAATCATTGGATTGAAAGAGTATTGATCATTGACATGCAATATATGTATGTACAGAAGTGTGTGTGTGTGTGTGTGTGTGTGTGTGTGGTCTCATTCAGAAAACATGAGCGGAACAAATGTGTGTAAATCAAGAATAAATACATTCTTACATAAAATGTTCCACTGAATTGAGTATACGCATTATTGCAAAAATGGTTTTATGGACAATTTACAAATAAATCTGCTCTGCTCATGTTTGATAAATGAGGCCCAATGCTTTCACACTAATATTGCTTCATAAGGCCCAATAACTGCACATTCAGTCATGTGACATAAGAACAAACTGCAACAATACAATTTCTGGAGTGAAGCAAAGAGGATTTAAAAGAAGGCTTGCTAGTCAAAAGTCTAGGGCTTGATCATGAAATATATCTAATAAGTATCAATGCAACATATAAAACTTTTTTTTTTTACCTTTCATACAATGCTTTAAAATTACAATCTATACCTGTTCTGAATGCAGTTCCTAAATCAAAGCAAAAAGGGATCCATTTCATTTGTAATTTGACCATGTTTTTTCCATTATTATTTTTTTGCAAACCACTGTATTTACATAAGTTCAAATTTAATTCGCATCTTTGCAAGGATTTAGTCTTAATTGTGCTTTTTAGACACCCTGTGTCTCTTTTTTTTGCCAGTTTCCCTGTGTGTCATTCAGACATCAGAACATGAGGTAGCAATCTTACCAACAGACTAAGCCACGCCCCATGATGTAAGACTCCACCCACCAGCTACAGCTCATTATAATATTGCATTATCATTTACCTGTATAAAACACATTTATCCAGTAGAATCAAGTAGTGGTAACCTAAAAATCAAATGCTGTGAGAAGAATAATGAAAGAGAATTAGAACGATAAACTTTTAAAGTTTCCAAAAGGGGGTTTTCGCAGCAACCACCAATTTGGATTTCCCAAGAACCTTTCGGTAAATAGTTCTGCATGGAACCATCGAAGCCAATAAAGATAAGAGTGTATGGTATGAAGAAGGTTCAGATAGCTTTGCAAATAAGGTATTTGCAATTATTAAATCTGAGGTATGTGATAATGGTGTTTGAAGAGGACCTATTAGTCTTTTTTACATTTTCAGCTTTTTTAGCATGTTGCTGTTTGTGCATGAGAAATGTCTGCAAGTTACAAAGCACAAAGTCATTCCAAAGGGACTTATTCTCTGTATCAGTAAGCATCCACTGTTTCTGAACTGCCTGAAACGCCTCAATTGTAGTCTTACGTTCTCTTCCGAGAACAAACGTCACAATGTTCCTCATTAAAATATATAAAAAAAAAAAAAATTGGGGGTGGGGGGTGGCGGGGTTGAGTTGCATTGTAGTGTGTTGAAACTCGCAGTTATGGTAATGGCTGCAACATTTTCGAAACACACTCAAAGCAGTTGACCAATCACAACACACTGGTCCAGCCGACCAATCAGAGCACATTGCGCTTTTCAGAAGGAGGGGCATCATAGAGAGAGGAACTAAATAGAGCATTACTAGCTATGTTTCCATCCACACGTTTTTATCCGCATTAAGTGATATCGAATGAAAAAGGCCTTATGGAAACAGTAAAATTCGATTGAATTTCATGAATATCGACTCAAAGAAATACGATCGGTCTCATCGGATTTTATCTTGATCGATATACGGCTTATGCGATAAACGCGGATGGAAACGTTATTATGGTGCGATCCATTTTGCCTAGTAAAACTTTGTTCGCAAATGTTGGCTTGAATGTTGTGCAATTCGGTGAGAAAATGAATGGAAACACCTTAACATGTCTCAAATCAATTCGATATACCAATTTGATCACAAAACAGCATGTGACGTCATTACGCACAGGTTTTTGTCCGCTTTAAAGCCGTTTGATGGAAACACACTTTCACCAGCTTTATTCGCATGAGGTTTTTTACCGAACTTCAGATAATTCGATTGACAAGTGGATGGAAACATGGCTACTGACAGACTGGGAAGAGATATAAGTCAAATATGTGAAAATTATTATTTTTTACATTCAAGCATGAAAACCTTTTCTAGTAGACCCTTCCAAAAAAAATCCAAGACTTTGTAAAAGGCCATAATACGAAGCAAAATAGTAATGTTTTACTAGCATGTTACAGCTAGATGTGTTCTATGCCGATTCAAGTGTACTGACAGAAATGCTCGAAACACAAATGATTCAAACCTACATTATAACTCGCTGCCACTCGCTGCTCGCATCAAGTTCAAGGCTTTGACGCTTGCTTACAGATTGACCACAGGTTCAGCTCCCTCCTACTTCCACTCACTACTACAAGTCTACATCCCTACCAGAAGCCTACGATCGGTCAATGAGCGACGGCTCGTGGTGCCATCACAGCGGGGCACAAAATCACTCTCCAGAACATTCTCATTCACGGTTCCATGCTGGTGGAATGATCTCCCCACCCTCATCCGGAATGCAGAATCCCTGACAACATTCAAAAGACAACTGAAAACTCATCTCTTCCGGGAGCACTTAACATAAAAAAAAAAAAAAAAAAAAAATCCTTTCCTCTAAATCCTCGCTTGCCTGGCTTATGCTACTCCGAGCTATGTCTGAACTTTGTATTTTGAACACTTCTTGTGTTGCTTTTGCCTCTTCACGATGACTCGCTTGGTTTAGTCCTCAGTTGTAAGTCGCTTTGGATAAAAGCGTCTGCTAAATGACTAAATGTAAATGTAAATGTTATAAAACCACATTAGATGTTATGAATATACATTTTCCTGTACTCAGTTCCCCCTACACTCTCACTAAGTTCATTGCTTCTTATTGCGAATCATTCTTCATGAATAAATGTCAATGTATATGATTCTCAAGCAAATTTCTGCAAGTCTTACAAAGCTCAGAGCAGCTAAAATATATTCAAATGAGAGAGAATAAAGGATCACATGAGAAGCGCAAGAAAAGAGATCACCGGAAAGGCCCAGTTGTGGAGAAACCCCAGTGGAGTCAGCTCCTAAAACTGCTGAGACGAGCCGTTTCTTCAGCGGAGTTCCTCTGAACCAGGGCCAAAACCCTCCACCACAGCTGATCCTATTTACAGTGTTAAGCCCCCGTATCAGATACCTGTCATCCATGCGGACCTGATTCATCAAGGTGTTTAGTTTACCATTGGCAGGGATTATCAGCACAGCACTTCAAAGCTGGAGGCGAATGCAGACGGTCAAAAAGGGAGCATTCACACCAGGAGAAGCGCTGGGAAAGTGTGTTTGCCGGTGAGATGCATTCAGGTTGGTCTTGAAATGAGCTTGATGAGTGACTCAAAAAAATATTCTTTTGGCATTTTGTAGATGAACTGCTTGAAAAATATGTGAGTAAGATATCCATTCACAATCCACTTCAGGTGTAGCTTGAAGCGTCCTTGGAGTTTCAGGAAGTTTGACACTCTTGTAAAAGTTCTAGTGGCATGGCTAAATAAAGTTACAGAAAAGTATCGTCAAGACTCACAGGTGATGTGTTTTTTTCTTCTTCACATGCACTACATGGCCACCCTAATCTAGCACTTGGCTTTAAACTAGTCAAGAACTCCTCAGTAATTCAAATGCATGCATAGTGCAGGACCGTTTCCGTTCTTCAAAGTTTTTTTTTTTTAGTTTTTTTAGTTTTTTTGCAAGTGCTGTCTTCTCTTGGATTCTTCTTCTATTTTTGCTTCTTCGACAAACCATTTGTTAAGCATCAGATGAGTCCAAGCAAGGTGTAATTTTAGAAGTGTAAGATGTTGAGATGCTGCGAATGAAAAGTGGCCGCACTTGTGTAATAGATGTTGGTTAGTGTAACTTCATTTGGAGTGCTCAGGTTGTGGTTCCATTAGTTGGATCCAATGTAGTGGCTTTCTCAGAATGTGGCGAAGCATCTTTGCTGGTCTTTGCATCCAACTCATTCGCCATTTCCTCAGGCGTGGTTGCGCCGATCAAGTCGCCATCTATCTGAGCCCCAGATTTGGGCGGGACAACAGGGCTGGCGCTCAGAATGGAATCAGGGGTGCGAGTGGCACTATGGTCGCCCTCAGAAATGGTCGGGGGGACGCCAGCGAGAGTGTCAGGCTCAAGAAGGAGCTTGTGAGAGGTGAGATTGTCGGGGACGTCTGTGTCACTGTCCAGAGGAAGCGCAGACGAGGTGAACTCCACGCCTGAGTCGTTCATATCCAGGAAGTTTTTGTCAGATTGGAGGGCGTGGTACTGACCTGGTTTTGATACCTCAAGACCCTAAAAGTGAAGTTAAACGAGAACCGCAGAACTGTGAGATGAATGTCTGAACTATTCAAATAGTCGTAGAAAAAAAAAACAAGAAAAAGTTCTTCTAAAATGAAAATTCTGTCATTTTTTTATTTTTCTAAACTATGAGCAAGTTGTTGTATGAGCTGCATAACAATTCTTTAAATATTTCAAATACTCTGGTCCATGAAAACATTGTTATTATAGTAATATTTTATATTATTTTTATACTATGAAATGTGCTATATAAATAAACTTGGCTTGCCTTGCCTACTATAGTTTTATTAATGTTCTGAACTATATTTTATTTTGATATTTTCAGTAATTTTGTTATGTGCTTTTGTAATTGTTATTAGATTTTTTCTTCGTAAATATTATTCAGAATCAGGTTTCATTTGTTTTTATTTCAGTTTTAGTTTTATTCATTTCCAGATAGTAATTTTAGTAATTGAGAAATTAGTAGTAATGGCAAGGCAACATTTCTAATTTTTATTTAGTTTAAGCTCTTCCAATATTTATATTTTACTTATCAATTTAACAAAAATGTTTTTTTTTTTTTTTTATAGTTTAAGATTCATTTTAATTAACAATAATAATCCTGATTTGGGACAACATGAGCAAATTATGACAGAATTTAAATTTTTTGGTGAACTATCCCTTTAAGATCATGTTGGCGAAAAAACAAAACTTAAAAATATAGCAAAATCACCTACTTTGATTTCAACTTCTGTGCTCTCAGTGGTGTTCTCCCATGTGGACTGCCCAGTGGACTCCTCTGTGAATCTAGTATAAACTTCATGAACCACCTGAAAAACATATATACACATGTCAAAAATAATCATACTGTGGCTGTGCTGTTGGTGCTCCCACAATAGTATCAAAATCATAGCAAGGGCTTTTTCACACTAGAGCTTGTGGTTCGAACCAGAGTCCATTAAAGGCAAGTTTGGTTTGTTGGGTGTGAAAGCTGTTTTTGAACTTGTTCCTTCACAAATCTACTTGAAAATGGGAGTATGATGGACGGTTTATGTGGAGTATGTATGGTAGACATTTTTGCAGAAGTGAACTGCTATTGATATAGTGAAGTGAATTGTCACTTTTTGACAGTCCAAAAAGTGGCCCAATTTACCTGCATCTTATAATGAATCAGTCATTCCTGTTTGCCTGTAGGAATTGCCTCTGGCAAGTATCTTGCATTCTTTGCTTCTCTTGCCATGACAGGCCAAGTGACGTTAAAATCTGCTAGTGAAAATCAAAGGGCTAAAATATGAATACAACAATAAATATTGAATTTATAGCTTTCCATTTAGGCTCCTTCTCCTGAGCTGTTATCTAGCTAGAGAGGCAGACAGCTGCTGTTGGCAATCACATTGAGCTGGTAATGCAAATGTATCACAGTTTGGAGCAAAATAATGAAATGTTGAAATGTTGTGTGAAGGCAAGGGGGCAGGGGGTGGAAATGAATTCAGGTTCAGACCAAACCAAATCACACCAAGTGTGAAAACAGCCTGAGAAATCAGCAGATCCAGAATAAATATTCTGCACACACATAAGGGTTGTTGGAAATAGAATATACTGTATACTGTAACATTGTGAAAACTGGATGAAGCAAAGGGCAAATATATCTGAATAATTTCAAACACATACTGTTTAAAGCACAACAACTCTCCTGTATTTGGCCCTCCACAGTGTCACAAAATATGTACAGTATGAGCATATTGTAAAAACCCTGAGGCACAATAACCCATAATTTGAGGGTGAACACAATGATGTCACAGACAAACACATAGACAACATGAATTTCACTAGGCTGGCAAATGATTAATTGCTGGAGTCTAGTAACTATATTTAGAATAGCATACTAGCATACTATTACTCTTTCTGCAGTATGCAGGAATTTGTATATTGTGTGCAGAATGCTTGCCATGGTAAGGGGCGATAGCAGTGTGAAATTTGATACCAAGTAAAAGAGGGAAATGTTATGAACGAAACAGTTTCAATAGCAACAGCCTAACGAAAAGAATATCCTTATAGTCGCCTAATGAAGAGTTTGCAACTAATGGCAAATTAAATGAACGCATTGACAGCCAAATGTTTTTTTAAAGACATATCAAAATTACACAGGCAACACAGCATACGTTACCTTGACAGGAACTGTTGTTCGAAGGGCAGAACAAAAGTCTGTGGCTTATCTGGTTACACAACATACATAATTAAGTGTGTAAAATATTAATACAGTAAACCGAACACTGCAACGGAATCGTTGGCAAAGAAGTTGCATTTAGAAGTCAAGACCATGATGAGAATGACTGAACACGTGAAACGGATGAGGTTTGGTGAACAACACGCAATTGAACCTGATTGAACTCTCAGTAAAAAATAAACAAATAAAATGTAAGTTTGAAATCAAGCATTGTGAGATATTGCGCAACAAAAATTTTCCACCTAGAAAGAATCCAACCAGTAATATAACCGCGGATATACAGCGGGTTTAAACGCGTTTGTGAAAATGAAAATTACGTCATGTGGCAAGACTATTGTGAAGTAACGTTCACTTCAAGTTTCACTTCAGATAATAATAATTTGATTGGTCTATCGTTTTTAAATTCCCCCTGTCACGAAAAACAAGTTTTTAATGTTGTTTATACGCTTGTCTATGTGGTGTTTTTAATTTGCAGTGGACAAACCATGTGCAATTCATATGTCAACATCATTGGGTGTAGAGTTACATTCAAGCTATTGGGATGAAGACATTTTTCTCACAGGAAAAAACTTTTAAATGTGTCATTTTGGTGATCACAGATGAGTTTTAAGGGATACAAGTATCTAAAAGTTTGACTAAAAATGCAAAGTAAAAAAAGTAATATTTCATTGAGGTTATAGAATAGTGACCAGTACCAGTAGTATGCTACATTGTTTTTACGTGTCACATAAATATGGAGTTTAAAATGTAAAATAAAATCTAAAAAGTATATACTTTGTAGTATGCAGTATGCTAGTATTCTATTCTGAGCATAGCCTTATTTCTGTTCTGTATCTAATTTGCAAAGCTAAAAACATGAAATGTGAGAGGAAAAATGGTTAACAATTACAAAATCTGCAACAATGTCCAAAGTAATTCAATATGAACAGGACATAATTAAAATGTTAAGTGACTCCATTAATCACTGCCAACCATAAGTACACACTCACACAGCAGCATATAAACAGAAGTCAGCACACATATACACACATACACATAGATTCATATTTACCTCTCCATATATATTGCATATGTGCATGTGTGTTTAAGCACGGCAGACGCTTTAACACACAGGTGTATGTACCTTTACACCTATTTATATTAAGAGTTCAAATTAGGATCAGTGCAATACACCTGAAGTTACTCATCTCAGGAGATCTGAATAATGGAATAATGGACAGGTACACAGTCACTACGAGTGACAGAAAGGCTTTTGGGACTCCTATTGCGCTACCACAACACCAATACAGATTCATAAATTTTAGCAATATAAGAAAATACGACACCAGAACGCAAAGCTCTCTCACCCAGCAGGGACTCCGTCAGATGATCCTTTAAGGGGGAGAAATGGAGTGTTAAGCTAACCACCACAAAACCTCTTTCAAATAAATGTGTTTGGGAGAAATACACACATTCAATCTCACTTTACACTCCACAGACAAACAGACAGATTATATTTGTATTGACTGATGGGTGATAATAGATAAGACTGGCAAGATTGGATTGCTTTGTTGTTGGAAAATGGATGAGTTTGCGAGGTTTCTATGGGCTTGAAACAAAAAGGAGATGTTTTCTTAAAGCTACAACAACATGCTACAGGAGGTTTCGTCTCATACGGTAAAAACAGGCTAAAAGCGAACTGCAAATTACTCGGTAATAGTCAAAATAATCATATAAAAATAATAAATAGTTAAAAGGGGTTAATCAGAATGAACTGAAAAAATGAACAAAGACAAGAGACTTACATAAACACAGACACATATTTTTGTTCAATCACATTTGCTGAAACTGATTTAATTATCATTATATATTGTATACCGGTAATCCAACGTACAGTTACGTAAAAAAACGTTTGGGGTCGGTAAGACTTTTCAATGTTTTTGAAAGTCGTCACTTATGCTTACCAATGCTGCATTTACTTGATACAGTAAAAACAGTAATATTTTGAAATATTACTACCATTTAAGATAACTGTGTGGCGAGCGGGACGAGGCCGAGGGCCGTGAGAGCGTGATTGATGATGAGCGACACCTGCGCGGCACGCCGGTCACGTATCTCTCACGGAGGAGCGGAAGCATAAAAGGAGGAGCGACGACAGTGAGGGACGAGAGAGGACCTGGGGCTTATACCATGAAGATGGTTTAGGTGGATAGCCAGCAATGTTTCGGTTTAGTTTGCGCCAAGCCTGGGTTTTAGGCACCATGAAAGTGGTGTGGCTTTTAGCAGTGTTCATCGCCATAGTAACTTAGGCTCCATGGCTAACATGGTCCGGGGCAGGTTATGCTCCAGGTAAGAGAAATTGGACCAATCAGCTGTGAGCAAGGATAAAGTTACTCTACCTCTTTCTACTCCAAATTAAAGGTCACTACATAATGACTTTTTAAAGACAAAATCGTCTGGCTTTTAGTAACACTTATTTAGAATAATAATTTTGTATGATTTAGATATTATTTATGTATTTATTAATAGATCACACGTACAATTTTAGCTTATAAATTATTTTTACGCACAGTTTAAAGGAATAAATATGTAAAGGTAATATAAATACGCTTTAGAATCAATTGATTAAGCTATAAAATGACTACATGTGAGCTTAAAAGGTCAATTCTCTCTATACCTTTATCAACTGTATAAAATAACTTCACAACTTTTACTTGCACTGATATAGCAAGACTTTTTCTTTCAGTTGTCCTCTTTCATAGACAGCTATTTTCTTCTTGCTGTGTAAATTTGTTTAAATTCTTTAAAAAAAATCTTTAATCTCGTAATATTCTGCAGAAGAGAGAAGTGAATCGCGCTGCTTCTCTCGTAAAAATGAATGGCAGTTTTCACTCTTTCTCAGCATGTGATTGGCTGTTCGCTACTGATGTCACACCTAAACTCCTAAGCTCAGGATCAAAGCCAGAGTTGACAGAGAAAGTTGATAATCAGCATCATGGTATCAACAAAGCCTGGTTGGATTGGTTTGGTTTTGTCAACTCAAAACTAATCGTGTAACCCAGAGTTTGTTCAACTACCATCATGGTACAGGCCCCAGACCTGGACTATTTTATTTGCTGTTTTGTTTTATTATGTGTGGCGGCAGTCGACCGTGAGGGGCTGCCAACGTTTCTGTATTTGTTTATTTATTTTATTAAAAGTCTTTAAACGTTCGCCGATTCGCGCCTCCTTCTTCCCACAACATCCAACCTCATTATAAACTGCTTTCTTTTTTAATATGTTTAAAGTATTTTATTTCTGTGATGGCAAAGCTACATTTTTAGTAGCCGTTACTCCAGTCTGTAGTCCCACATGATCATTCTATGCTGATTTGGAGTATATTTCTACCTGATATTATGATCAATGCTGAAAACGGTTGTGCTTCTTAATATTTCCGTGGAAACTGATTTTTTTCAGGATTCTCTGATGAATAAAAAGAACTTGAAGCATTTATTTGAAATGGATTTTTGTAACAATGTCTTTACTCTCACTTTTGACATGTTTAATGCATCCTTGCTGAATAAAGGTTTTAATTATTTTTTTATTTTTTGTAAACTTTTTTTTACTGACCTCAAGCTATTGAACGACAGAGTATTTTGCAACCTTTAATATACTTTCCAAATGTAGAGGAGCAGCATCCAACATATATGTGTTTTTATTGAAATGTGTTTAAAGTCAATTTTATTATACATCTGGGGTGTCTGAAGTTGTTTGGTTTTACCTGTCTGAAAGCATCACCGTCACCCTTGCCCGCCTGCTGAGCGATTAGGGAGAGCTTACGTGCTCTATCTGCCCGGCGGTGAACCTTGATCAGACAGGACAGCAGACACACCAACAGCAGGAACGCCAGCAGAGACAGCAGGGAGATGATCGCCACATAGAGTTGTGGCAGCTTATAGGCTGTTATGGGAGAGGAGAGGATCATGGGTACAGGAAATAGACCTCAATTTGTCAGTTATTAAAATCCCATCCAAACACAATTAACAGTACGTTCTCAAATTCTCTACTCACGCTCCACGTTAAGGTAGACGTCAGCTATACGGAAGCCTGAGAAGTCCATCACTCGAAAGACACCCATGTCGCTGGCTTTAACCTTCTTCAAGTAGAATACGGATCCTTCCACAGACGCTCGACCATCAAAAACAGATTCAACAGACACAGTCAGCTCTCCCTGGTCCATGATGAGTCGTTCTTTGTGGTCAGAGTCCGGGATGTAGACCAGTTTGACTTTGTCGTGGTCCGCGTGAAGCCTGATCTTAAAGGTTTCACCATAATTCAAGTGGTCAAAGATCTGATGATCTGTGAAATGGAAAAAAAGCAATGATAGCTCAGACTCAAAATACTGACTGGATATACACAGATATTGAATCTTGAATTCAATATTAATGGACCAAATTTCGATGTACCTGAAACAGCTCAGAATATAATCAGAATTATCTGATTAATAATAATAGTAGTAGTAGTATTAAAAATAGTATTGGCAATAATAAATGTAATTAAAGTAAATATTTTTTAACATTGATGTCCTTTATCATCTCATGCCAAAGAACAACCATTATCTATGTTAAAAATAATAATAATTGTGGCAAAAGTGACAAAATATTTGATTGACCTTCTATAACCAGTTGATGTTTTACTTTCATTTGTAAGACTCAAGTGATATTTAGATTAGAGCAAAAATAGCATGTCAAAACTAATATCACCATATTTGTGCTAGTATGGCATTTCTGTATATTCAGCTTTGTTTTTTAGAGTTGATTTTGGATTTATCCTGCCAAAAACTGGTTTAAGAATAAGCTGCAATGTGCACCAGAATGAATACTGATAGTCTAAAGTCTGAGTCTTTGTGCTTACATGTCCTATTTTGTGCTCCTTTATTCTCTCCTTCCTTAACTTCCTCTTACACTTCCCTCTTTGTACTTTTACACTATTTTAAGGCTTTGACACATGTAAGGCTTTCTCTTTTATCAAGCGCTGAAACTGTCTCCTTATCTAATGCTCACACAAACATTGATTTTGCACCTTTCACGTTGAGACAGGCCCTCAGTCTGACTTTTTCATCCCTGTCCACGATGGTGTAGCTGCCCTCATCGGCCCCTGTAACCAGATGGAGGTTGACCCTCTTCTCGCCCACGGTGAGGCGGTTCTCGTACTGTTCCGTGGGGACGCCGGTCTGGTTGAGGAGAACCACAGGTGGTTCCTCTGTGGTCTGGTTAACTGGAGTCAGAGCTCCAGGCCTGAACTCAAGGGTGTACGGACCGATCGCAGGGTTGATCGGGATATGATACGTGTCTCCATATTTCACCACAGTCTCTAGTGCACAGTCTAGAAGAACAACAGAACTGAAATACATCAACACACCTATGAGGACATTCTTTTTGAGTACACACTGTAAAAAAAAAAAAAAAAAAAAGTACGTATAAATAGATATATACAGTCTTATAGATAAGACTGAAGTAATGATGAACACTGAACACTGGTGTTAATGATGCTGAAAATTCAGCTTTGATCACAGGAATAAATTACATTTTATATATAGAAAATGTAATTTATTCGTGTGATCAAAGCTGAATTTTTAGCATCATTAACACCAGTCTTCAGTGTCACATGACCCTTCAGAAATCATTCTAATATGCTGATTTGCTGCTTTTTTTGGAAATCATGATATGGTACCATACTAAAATTTGGGGTCAGTTATCTTTTCATTACATTTATCAAAGATTATGGTAAAGATATGTTATTATATTACAAAAGTTTTCTATTTCAAACAAATGCTGGTCTTTTGCACTTTCTATTCATCAAACAATCCTAAAAAAACATAACACTCAGCAATGACAGCAATTACTGTTTATATATAACATGTAGTGACCATAGCTTTTCATCATTTAAAGAAGCATTTTGCTTATTGAATCTTTTCCTGTCATCTATCAAATAACCAACAGAGGAAGAACTTATATAAGTGGTATTATAACTTTTACCTCTAACAACGAGAATGATTCGTCTGACATCAGATGGGGCCGCAGAATTCTTCACCACGTACGTGCCCTCATCCTCCTCGCCCACATCCTCCAGGATCAAATGGCTGATGTGAACGTTCAGTTTGGCTCTGTTATCCAGAATTGTCCCGTTCCGCAGGAGAACCCGCTCTAACACCGGCTCCACCCTCGGTTTGAACAACACCTCTGATGTGTCTAAAGCCGTCACGGGAATATGAACATCCTCTCCAAAGAAAGCTGTGCGGTGTTCATCTTTAGCTGCATAGTGACAAGAAAGACAGAAAGTCAGACAATATAATACACTTAACTACAGAAAATTGAGAAACATAAATTAAAAACCAAATTTATACATAGGAGATAGAGGATTGGCCCTTAGTAAGTTGCTTTGTAATTATTAGGCCTATAATAATAATCTCAGAATCAATACCTTTAATGGTTGATGACCAAGCTGAAAAAAAGAGAGAGAAAAAAGGTAAATACAAGTATAATCGAGACAGACAAGCCATTTCTATTCCAAATATCTTAGTGTTGTCTTCATTTATGCTACAATACATTTTATTGAGTTACTAAAGTCACTGTTGTATTGAAGTTATTCACCCTCTTGGATTCAATGTGCAAAAATGATCATTTTAACATCTTTTTCACTCATTGATAGCGTTTTAATTTTAATTAATGCAGGTGTTTAATAATTGCTCATATTTAGCTGCAAATAGAGTTAAAAGAAAACAGTACATCCTATTAGTAAATGATCTAAACGGTTCAGAATGCCACTGGTAATAATATGAGAGTATATATTTGCTCAGGTGACAGATCAAATTTCTATTAGATCAAATTTAGCTTATCTACAGTATAACTGCTTCAAAATAGCAATGAATTTGCCCTTATGCTCTCAACAACAACTAAATCACTTTGAACTTGGAAATCAGCAGTTATGAAGGAGAATAACAAGGAGAATAACAAATCTCTCTCCATTTGTAAATCTTAAATATTAACGAAATCTAAAAACCCTGACAAACTACTGTTGAAGCAATTCACTCCTAACTCAAAAGACAAAACAAAGAAAATTGCAAGCATTTCATGCAACCAATGGCCTGAATATACAGGCTCTAAAAATATATGCCTTTTTGCTGACGATAAAAATACACCTATCTGAGAAAAGAGTTTCCCTTCTCTTCTGCACGAACAATATGAAAGCACTATTAGGAACGCTGCCGTGTCAAACCGCCAACTGTGCACTTTCAGTCCAGCATCTTATGATAAATGATGCTACAAATGTTGCCCTTGTGAAATAAAGCCATTGCAAATGAAAAGCTAAGCCTAGTATTTGTTGTAGCAACATTTATTTTTATACTTCCTTCAGAAATGTGTTCTAAAGAGGTTTTCAATCAGTTACCTGAACACAGGACGGTGCTAATGACTGCCACACACGTGATGATCATTTTGGCTGGATATCTGTGTAAACAAATGCAACTGTGAAACAACATAAACAAGCAAAACTTATTTCCAGCAAGATATGGGAAGAAATAACAATAATGATACCTAATATGGCATATAAAATCTAAAATGTTCACTTAATTTGATAAATATGTTGTTCACTGAATTAGAATATGGTGTCTCAAGCAATGCATTTAAAATGAAACTGCATTTTCAATTATTTTCATAAAAGGATTTCATAAATTCATGATGCTACAAAATGACATTAAAGAGGCTTTAAAGAGATTCTTGTCGTAGTCTAATAGCACTAGTTATTTAACTAAAAGCCTGAATCATTAATGCTAACTGAATTTGTCTTGTACATCAAAAGAGACTACTATTGCTTTTAGGTCAAACTCTACAGCAGCGTGACAGTTTGATCAGTGAGTGTCTCTTTAAGACTGATTGTAGATCTGACTAAGGGAGGAGATTTGTTGGCTGTCTCTCAAACAGTATCTTAGTAATGGATGACATCCAGTTTCTGACAGTATACTGTACTTGCCCAGACTGAAGGCAGCTGACAGTGCCACTTCTTCCAAAAGCCCAAATCAGTTCAAAATCTGTCTCTATCTCTCCCTTATTAGCTTTAAGGTTTACCTTTTAAAGCCAAGCCCTAGACAATCATTCTTAACCAATATAGGTTGAGCCTATAGGTAGCCAAATTATTTTCAGTAGGCTAATAAAAAGTGTTCACTAGTTTCCTACACTAGAAATGTACATATTTATTGTGACAAAATGGTTCAAAATTGTGAGAGCGAAAGAGAAAAATACAATCTTCTTTGTTCTAGTCCTTTGCCAAAGTAGCCTACTCTTTGGCCTCATATTATTGGATCAGAACTGAGCGCCTCAGCGGGAAAACGAACTGCATCTGCTCCACTTCCACTTGATTAACAATCGATTTCAGAACACCACATATTTAGAATAAATCTGTTTGGTTTTTAAGTGCACTTTACCCGAAAGCACGCTCATTTCTAGTTCTTAATAGCGTATAGGATATAACGCTGATTGGGCCTTTAAAAATGAGTGAGGAGACGCGATGACTGACAGGTCACGTTTCAGCGCGTGCCTTTTAAATCGCTGACTCAGTGAGATTAGATGATTTTGACTGTAGCCTACTAATTAAACGACCAATAATTATCTTACATACAGGATTCCTTCTGTATAAACACGAAAGTCGCTGTCGCTTTGAAATGGCTACACAGATATCCGTGGTTTTCAGTCGTGAGGGAACATTGTGCTTTAGACGCCTTTTTTCCCGTTCGTAACCACACGGGCCCGCTGATGCGACAAGGGTGTGTCACAGTCTTCTGCTGGACCTGTCCCATCAAAAGGATTCTGAGGACCCCATTAAACCAGAAATATTTTCGTTTTCTTATGCATAGGCCTACAGCCTAAGCTTGAACAAAGCAGGTTATGTACAGAAATGAGAACACGCACGTTGAAACATGACGATCACTGCATGCTGTTGTCTTATTTAGCGAGATGATGAACAGACATTCAAATAGGCTACCGTAATGTCTGTCGGTTCTATTATATAAAAGAACTGGCGCGTCGCGAAATATTGTGGTTATACAGTAACCCTCAGCGGCGTGTCGATAATAAAGTCACTAGCTTTAGTGTCCACTAGCCTTTGAGAGCAGTATGTCATGGGTAGACAGTATTTGATGTCCCATTCAAGAGGAAGCTGCCTCAATCGACAATGAACTATGAATCAATATTTTCTCGTGTTACCAATACGGCCACTTCAACTGACAGGAGCTGCAACCAAGGTGCTAAATTATATAATAATTTATTTAGATACAAACGAACAATATAAATGTACAGTCATGTCGCTATAAACCTAAAAACTGCGCATAAATGGGCTACAACATTCTAATAATGGTGCCAAAGGGTTTCGTGTCCACATAGTTCTGCATTTAGCCTATTAAAATGAAAAAAAAAAATGTCCCGATGCGAACCGTTTCTTGTTTGATAGTATCAATAGAAACGCCCTAAATCTTATCATCACTGCATCTAATATAAAGTTATAAAGCAGTAAACGAAAAAACGGCATCATTTAACCATATTATTTATTTTGCCTTATGTGAAAGCATCATTCTTACATATGATAAAGAAGTGGTGTAATTACCTTTGTAGGATATATGAAATCCAAATCGGCAAAATGATTGGTAGCCTACGCTATATGAAAAAAAATATGGTTTAAAAGGATGGTTTTCGTCCTCCTATTTCCCAACCCTTCTTTATCGCCCCCAATCTGCCAAAGAAAGACACTTCTGTTTTAACAAATCGGCGTTATCTGGAAGACTTCGGCTGATTTCGTTTTAGAGGCAATTTAAGCTCGGCTTTGCTCGGATGTTGTCGTTCATTTCCGGGAAATCACTCTCGCCTGCTCTACCAGAGCACTCACATTTAGCCTACATAAAGCATAATATATAAGCGTAAATCTGTGCAGCTCTTGGCAAAATTAACTTAAATTTTATCTCAATTCAATTTAAATAGCTTTATTAGCTTTACTATAGCCTACTAATAAAATATTGCCAGGGTTTGGAGTATTTGCACACACAAGAAAAGTCTTGCAATGATGCCTAAATGGTGCCTTATATTCACAGGCTTATACTGTATCACAATAGTGTATGATCAGTTGATGGACAATATTGTGTGTGTGTGTGTGTGTGTGTGTGTGTGTGTGTGTGTGTGTGTGTGTGTGTGTGTGTGTGTGTGTGTGTGTGTGTGTGTGTGTGTGTGTGTGTGTGTGTGTGTGTGTAAAACAAAGAAAAAGGAAATGTTTTCATTTCTTTTCTTATTCCAAATCCCTGTATATAATAACAGCACTCCAAACCAATCCAGTCTTTGTGTTCCTGCTCTGCTCACTGCTAAGAGCTGAAGTAGCTTCTGTAAAATATTAGCTGTCAGCATCTTACATTAAAGAACTACTCAATGGTTTCATCTTCTCTAGATCTCAAGATGAATTACAAAAGATGGGGAGGGGCAGGAGGACAAAAAGCTATAGGCCTAGCTATTCTGTGCATAAGTCCTAATGCACAGAAATAATAAATAATAGATAGTTTTTAATTTTAGATAGATAGCACGCTAGAGGAATACATTGTGGAGTTTCTGGATCTCTACAATGAGGCGCGCTGGGATGATGATACCCTTGAACAGAATGGACAACATTCTTGGACAGATGCTGCTGATGAGGGAGGAGCACTGTCACTTTGCAGAGTTCGTGGAGTTTGGATTATGGGTTTGCGGATCCCCCCTCACCATGGAAGTTGCAGAGGACGACGCCATCAACCCCCCGGGACTTTCAAGCAGCCACCTCCTTGTCCACTCCAGATAGGGCTTGTCGTCCCAGCAGGGAGAGTCCCGGATAGCAAGAGAAAACCTCCGCCACAGACCTGATGATGACGCCCGAGGTCGCCACAGAACCGGAGCCTGAGCCCCCTCCAACCACGGAGTCAGAGCCAGCCAGAGTTCGTCCTGGAGCCAGTGCCAGTTGCCATATCCATCCCTAGGTTAGTGCATATCGCCAGGTCCATCACGGACACAGTGCTGTTCGAACAGTTCAACCCAGGGTCAGATGAGGATCACTTGCTGGCTCAATAATTTTACAGAGGAGCAAACTCCCACTCTCTCACCCACCCTCGAACTCTCTCCTCCTGGTTAAGCTAGCTATGATTCTGGATGACCCACTCCCGCCCAGGACCCACTCCCACCCCTTTATTCCTGGATTCTATGCTGGCTCCGTTCAGTCCCCTGGACTTGGCCTGTCCTGCAGGTGCCTCGCTGCTCCTTGTCTCCGCCCTCGCTGATGACTCCTGCAAGCTCTCTGGCTCCGCCTCGCAGCTCCTTCACCACCAGCACGGCTCTATGAAGCGGATCCCCTGGCTACACCTCAGTCCTCCAGGCCCATTTCTCCACCTCGACTGGTCTGCCCTTCGGCTCCACCTTGGGTCTGTGCTCCCTCAGGTACGCCGTGGTCCACCATCACTCAGGCTCCACCAGGCTCCCTTGTCCCTCTGGCTCCACCTTTGTCTCTCATTATCCTGGTTTCGCCATGGACTTCCAGATCTCCGGCTGTGCCTTAGCCTTCACCCCTTCAGCTCCACTGGGTTCCTCCTTCCCTCCGGTTCTGCTTTGGTCCTTCCTCCATCCGGTGTCGCCCCGTTCTGCCAAGCCCCCGCCTCCACCAGGTTACTAGAGCCGGCGATGTCACCTCGGCCCTCCAGGCCTACGATGTCGTCCTCACAGTTTCGCTTGGGTCTCCACCTCGTCCTGTTCCACCGCCGTCGGTCGGTGCTTCGCCCAGGAAGACCATCAGAAACAAATCACCTGTCCTCAGTGTGAAAAGTGTTTCGGAGTAAAAGAAAAGATTAAACATCACATGAGAATTCACACAGAGAGGAGGCTTTCACCTGCCCTCAGTATGAAAAGTGTTTCGCTGTGAAACGAAGCCTTCAGAGTCACATGAGAATTCACACTGGAGAGAAGCTCATCTGCTCTCAGTACAGAAAGAGTTTCACGCGACAAGGAAATCTTGAGCATCACATGAGAATTCACGAAAAAAGCCTTTCATCAGCTTTCAGTGTGGAAAGCTCACGCAGTTTCACGCAACAAGAAAGCCTAAAAGTCACAAGAGAATTCACACTAGAGAGAATATTTTCACTGGAGAAAATGATTCTTGTCATATTTTTTATGATTTTTATTTATGAAAAATATTAAATAGCTTCTGTAATTCACTGTATTGTTGCCAAACTCAGTTCACACATCACTGCTGTTCTGTTGGTTATACTACAATACTTATTTTGGGAAAAAAATATTTGTGCATATTTTTTATGATTCTTATTTATGACAAATATTCAATATCTTATTATTAGCTCTGGCTTTAGTCACCCCCCGCAACTATCATTTGATTGGCTTATAGGCATGCAGCCATGATGAGACAAGCACACTTACAAAAAAAGAAGTAGTTTTTACAATTTTGGAAAATATAGAAAAATACAGAAAATTTAAGGTTTTGTCTTCATGGATTTTCATGTATGTATAAAGAATTATTAAACATTACTGAAAAATAAGGCTCTTTTATCATGCATTTCTAAAAAAAAAAAAAAAAAAAAGGGAAAAAAAGAAAAAGTATTTGTTTCTTGCAAAGGCAATTACTTGAACTTTGTCTCCAACAAAGATCAAGTTACTGTCCATCAGTTATGTATTTGAATAAGCCACCAAATGCAGTGCGTAACAGAAGTTATTGAATATTTTTAATAATAAAAAATCATAAGATAATACAAAAATATTTTTTCCCAAAATAAGTGTTGTAGTATAACTATCAGGACAGCAGTGATGCGTGAACTGAATTTGGCTACAATATAGTGAATTACAGTGAAGTTATTGAATATTTGTCATAAATAATATTCATAAAAAATATGCAAAAATATATTTATCCAAAATAAGTGTTGTAGTATAACCATCAGGATAGTAGTGATGTGTGAACTGAATTTGGCAACTATACAGTGAATTACAGTGAAGTTATTGAATATTTGTCATAAATAAAAATCATACAAATTATGCAAATATATCCTAAATAAGTGTTGTAGTATAACCATCAGGACAGCAGTGATGTGTGAACTGAATTTGGCAACAATACAGTGAATTACAGTGAAGTTATTGAATATTGTTCATAAATAAAAATCATAAAACTTATGCAAAAAGATATTTATCCAAAATAAGTGTTGTAGTATAACCACAAAAACGCGTTCTGTGTGAAAGCCACTTGTAATATTTCAATGCTGCTTCCGATACGCTGGGGCAAACTGCATCGATAACAATTTTCAAATGATTCATTTATCCTAGGGCCACACTATGCGAAGAACTGCTCTAATTAAGTCTCACCGTGAGATGGCGCCAGTAAGTCTGTGTGACTGTGATCCGGGCGGGGCGCCATCATCATCCTCATCATCACTATCACACACTGCTGCTAGTTACAGCCTGCTGGATTACTCCGTCTTTATTTTACACCAGTTAGAAAATAACCTAATATCGTGCTATTATCAACTCGATTAATATTTACTAACCTTTCACCCAACGGTAAGAGAGTTTTTCCTGATAATTATTTTCCTGTTTTCTATGGAGTCTTTTCCGAGAGCTTTTACGCTGTCGTGACGTGCTGGATGTAAACACTGGATTAATATCCCTCCGCCGCCCAATACAATATTGCGAGATTATAGGCGCAGTTATTGTTTTTACTTTCAGCCTAGCAGGAAAATACAGTTTGCTGTTGGTGTAATAGGTAAAATAAGGCTATATTTATTTGGATTTAATACTGTTACACTAATGTGATTATACTAATGTAATTATTAAGGCACTCCTAGTCCACCGCACCCGGGATTATATTCAGTATTTAAAAAATAATATACCATAATTCAAAAAACAAAATTAATATATATATATATTATATCGTATAAAATACGAACATCTCTCATTATTTATCACAATTTAGCTCTTAAATATATATAGGGCACATTTTGATAAATTGTGATAAATAATGAGAGATGTTCGTATTTTACTCTCTGTCACGCATGTCACCCTTTAATAAACTAATGAATTTATATGTAATGTTATGGCATTATATGCTTTTTCCTCCCGAAATGCTCTGCAAACGTAATAAGCAACCAAGCCCACCATTTCCGAGAAGCAAAATCGCATGAGTCGATCGATAACCTAAATGCATGGCCAGGTTTATGCAGATTGCAAGATATTGTGTGCATTATTGTACGCTATAAGTAGGCTACATATAATTCGTTAAAATATTTAAGAGTTAAAGAGTTGTTGTTTAAGAGTTTAATAGAGTTGTTTTTTAAGTGTTCTGTTTGTGGTTTTTGCGGGTCTACATGTGAAACCTCACTAACCTTTTCCTTGAGTTTCACCTGTATTTTGACCCGTATTTAAATAAGTTGTTTTCACTTTTGACGTTTTATGTATGTCATAAAATATATATTTGTAATTCTATGAATCATGGATCCAAATTATCTCACACATACTGTTCCCAATGATAAAATATAAATGGGCCCTATCTGGGTAAAAAATATGTATTTGATGTATTTTTGTTTTCCTACAAATATTTATCCAAAATAAGTGTTGTAGTATAACCACCAGGACAGCAGTGACATGTGAACTGAATTTGGCAACAATGCAGTGTATTACAATGAAGTTATTGAATATTTACAAAACACTACATGACAGAAAAAAATACTACATCACTTTCTTAAACACCTGTATTACTACAGCAATTAGTTTTGCATAAGTACAACAGAACTGATTTAATTGTTATGGTTATGTATTGTGTGTCATAGAATGTTGCAATTACAAAAAAGAAATACTCCTTTACTAAAATGTAAATTACTAAGACCAGAATAATACAGTTGTTGTTATAAAGTATGTGTGAGATATTAGGGAATGAATCCAATTTTCAGCATATTTTTTCCTTTGCATATAATTCTAAAATGTTGTTTTCCCGTAGTGTGGAAATGTTTTACACTTGCGGTCCCAATGAGGCAATGGTGGTGTCGGGTAAGATTAAACATCACAGGAATGTGTTTATACAGAGATATATTTTCAGCAGAAATCATGAAAACATGTTCTCATGTGTTATTGGACTCCTCAGGTTTCTGCCGCTCTCCACCGCTCATGATATCTGGTGGGAGAGTGTTTGTTGTCCCATGCATTCAGCAGATTCAAAGGTATTATTCACTCTGTGTGTTTGTGTGTGTGTGTGTATATATATATATATGTATATGTATGTGTGGTTTTGCATAAACAAATCTTAGTTTTTTCTCTTCCATCACAGGATCTCTCTGAACACTCTGACGCTAAATGTAAAGAGTGATAAAGTCTACACACGTCATGGAGTGCCCATCTCTGTCACTGGAATTGCACAGGTTAACACACACTCTCTAATAAGCTATAAACATCATTTCATATGGGTTTTGGAAATCAGAACCTGTTTTTGTCATTTTTGTCACAAATGATAAAATACTTCATCCTTCTTTAATAACTTTTCTGTAGAAAGTCATTCAGGTTGATTATGTGGCTTAGCAGATTATGTGTCTCTCCTACAGATGAAGATTCAGGGCCAGAATAAGCAGATGTTGGCTGCAGCGTGCCAGATGTTCATGGGAAAGTCGGAGGGTGAGATCGCTCACATTGCCTTGGAAACACTGGAGGGCCACCAGAGAGCCATCATTGCTCACCTGACCGTGGAGGTAAATAGATAAAGTGCACAAATAGAGCTCACCTTGCAAATGTATGGCACTCTGCAACATTACAAACAGTAAAACTAGATATAGGGCCTGATTTACTAACAGCTTGCACCAGGGCAAACCCTCTTTTGGTGATAAACCAGCATTTACTAAAGAAACAGCAAGAAATTAGCAATGAAAAGGGCATTGGATATTTGTTTTGCTGATGCTTTTGTAGGAGTTTCCCATTCAGACACATCATTTATGGGAGGGAGAGTATTTAAAGGGGTGGTTGATTTATGATTTCACTTTTTTACCTTTAGTTAGTGTGTAATGTTGCAAAGTTACAATGCTCAAAGTTCAAAGCAAAAGGAGATATTTGCTTTTAAAGAAATTGCTTTTTAAGGACTACAACAAACGGCTGGTAGGGAATACACAACATTCCTCCCGGGTTAGTGACATCACCAACCCTATAATTTACATAAACCCCGCCCCCTGAACACAATTTATAGATTATCAAGACAGAATATACTAATCAATGACTAGAAGATAACTACACATTAGCTACATAAATTCATCAACTAACCATTCCGAAATGTCCTGTTGCATTTTACGTGTTGTCACTTCCTCTTGAGTCTCTCCATCATTGTCTGACTTCGGTTTGAACATAAAAGGCTAAACGTTTTTGAAATTTTCAGTGCATGTCTGTGTGAGTGCAAACTCTTGAAGCTCCGCCCTCTGTGCCATGAGCAGCTGCTCATTTGCATTTAAAGGAACAGACACAAAAAGGTGCATTTTTGCTCACCCTCAAAAAGTGACAATTTTAACATGCTATATAAAAATATCTGTGGGGTATTTTGAGCTAATACTTCACATACACACTCTGGGGACATCAAAGACTTATTTTACATCTTGTGAAAAGGGCATTATACCACCCCTTTAAATGAATCAATGTGATTTACTAAGGTTTGTGTCATTATTTAACACCCAACAAAAGCATGTCTTAAAGGGGTGGTTGATTATGATTTCACTTTTCTAACTTTAGTGAGTGTGTAATGTTGCTGTTTGTGCATAAACAACATCTGCAAAGTTACGAAAGTTACGATCAAAGCTCTTTTTTAAGGACTATAAAAACGGCTGGTAGGGACTACAGTGAAATTTACATAAACCCCGCCCCCGGGAACGTGATTTATTGATTATCATGACAGAATATGCTAATCAATGACTAGAAGATTGTAAACTCCACATCAGCTACATGAATTCATCAACAAACCATCCAGAATTGTCCTGTTGCATTCTACATGTTGTCACTTCTTCTTGAGTCTCTCCATCTTTGTCCTTCTCCGGTTTGAACATAAAAGGCTAAAAGTTTTTAAAAATTTCAGTGCATGTCTGTGTGAGGTAATCTAAGATGCTAACACATGAGCTCTTGAAGCTCCGCCCTCAGCAGCTCATTTGCATTTAAAGGGACACACACAAAAACAGTGCGTTTTTGCTCACCCCCATAAAGTGCGATCGCGCTCTCAATCAAATTTGCCCTGTTTTGTAAACCTGGCCCTTAGTATTCTGCACTCTCAGTCCTCAGCTTAGTGAAACCTTGACTTCATTTAGCATGATGACTTTGATGTTTCTTTACAAGTAAAGAACTAAGTGGGTTGAATGTTTGTTCTTTAGGAGATCTACAAAGACCGCAAGAAGTTCTCCGAACAGGTGTTCAAGGTGGCTTCATCCGACCTTGTCAACATGGGCATCAGTGTGGTCAGCTACACACTCAAGGATGTTCACGATGAACAGGTCTGTTAGTCTGTTTAAATGCTTTAAAACTGTAAATATGATACTATGTGAGTGGTGAATCAAGCCCTTTTCTTTCAGGATTACCTTCACTCTTTGGGAAAAGCCCGTACAGCACAAGTGCAGAAGGATGCACGTATCGGGGAAGCCAAGAACAAAAGAGATGCAGTGATCAGGGTGAGCCTTTCCTGAACTTTTTTTCAAATAAAGCCTATTTTCTAAATCTCACTGAGGATTTATGTTAAAATGTTCTCATGTTACGCCTCTCTCATTTGCTCACTTGATCACTGTAGGAGGCCCATGCTATGCAGGAAAAGATATCTGCTCAGTACTTGAATGAGATCGAGATGGCTAAAGCTCAGAGAGACTACGAGCTAAAGAAGGCTGTCTACGACATTGAGGTCTTCACCAAAAAAGCTGAGTCTGAAATGGCCTATCAGCTCCAGGTAAAAAAAACTACAACCAAAACTTTTGGTGACTGTCAATGATGTGAAAGACTTTCTTGTGCTTCAATGTTATCTTTGGGGTTCTTGTTAACTCTTTCCCGCCATTGACAAGTTTTTCCGGCAATCCGTGCACTGTTAGACGGTAGGGGGCGCTGTTACGGATCTTCTGAAATAGTACAGCATCTCTGGATCCAAAAACAAGAGATGTAAAAGATCTGCATAAACAAGAAGGAGCAGATAAAGTTGTTTACGCACAAGTAAGCTAATATGATCACCAATCATTCAACAGCATAAAAATCAAAACTGCCTAACGTTACAGGTGAAACTATTGAACCCAGGACGAGGTATAAGACTGTGAAGCTTTGGGGGAGTTGATGGACTCGATCTACGTTTTAATAATCATTCTGAATCCAGACAAAGTCTTTGTAAAAAAAAAAAGCAATTTTCTTAGCTTTTTGTTCGAAATGTTGTTTTTATGAAATTTAATCACATTCAAATCTGAATGAAGCTTCAAGATAGACTAAAATGTTTATTTTGTTGTCTTTCTTTTTATATGTTGACTGTTTACATATTCATAGGAGAAAATATTCTGGGGGCCATTAAAAGTTTGTGAATATGATCAGAAATGCTGGCGGTGGCTGGCAACTTAAAAATAAAATGCTGGAGTTGTTATTTATTTTAGAAACATAACTATGTGGCATGATTTCTTTTGTGTGTGTGTTTGGGCGGGGGCGGGGGGTGGGGGTAAATTGACTTACATTTATTCAGGTAATCTTCATCCTGCTGTGTAATTGTTGCATTAGGTGGCGAAGACGAAGCAGCAGATTGAGGAGCAGAAGATGCAGGTGCAAGTGGTGGAGCGCTCACAACAAATCATGCTGCAGGAACAGGAGATCACGCGCAAGGAGAAAGAGCTGGAGGCCAAAGTCATGAAACCAGCCGATGCCGAGCGATACCGGCTGGAGAAACTGGCAGAAGCCGAGCGGTGAGATGGATGTGCCTTCAGTTCAGCTGTTTGTTTTAAAGGGGTCATCGGAAGCCCGTTTTCCACAAGTTGGTATAATTCTTTAGGGTTTTCATGTAAAGTTTGTAACATACTTTGGGTAAAATTCCTCAATGGTTGTGTAAAACAACACCCTTTTACCTCCTCAAAAACAGCTCTGTTCACAGCGACCCGTTTCGGTGCATGTTTCTTTAAATGATAATGAGCAACTGCTCACCCCACCCCTCTCTTCCATGGGGGGTGTTGAATGGCTGAGGGCGGAACTATGCTAATACGGGACAGTCTGTCATTGCTCGTGGGCGGAGCATGAACGATATGACATCATATTGCACAGAAAATCCAAACGGCTTGAATATTGAGAGTGTTAAGACTTTTTGAGGATAAAAAAAAGGAGTGAATGGATTTTTTTTCATCGTATGGTGGTTGTGTCCACACACTGCAAAGACACATTTATATGCAAACACCATATACAAGTGAATTTTGCATCCGACGACCCCTTTTAACAAACATTTACCAATTACCTTTGTACTAGTGTGTAATTTCTGCACTAGTGTCATAAAAAATTGCAAAAAGACTATTTTAGCATAGAAGTGCCCCTACTATGCTTGTTTAGATTTTACCTTACATGCAGTGTGTAATATAGTTGTTTATAACTGAAAAAGGTCTGCAAATTTTCAAAGCTCAAAGGACACGACAAATATTGTCTCCTAAAAGAAAGAATCAAGTCTGAACTGCATGAAACGTCAATTTCAGTCTTACTTCCTGCACAAACCTATGTAGGTTTGTAACAAATGTACGTAATGCTTGCGAACATCATCTACTTTGACCTGATTTCAAACACTGTAGTTTTAGCTGAAACCTGGAAAAGAAAAGAGGAGATACTGCAATGTATATTTTGAGAAAATGTGAGTGTTTTTTAACCTTGGATGCGTGTAAACCTATTGTAGGAGACCTTCAAAATTAGGAACCTTTAAAATAGCATAACAGGGACACTTCAAAAGCATTAAAAACGCATATATTAATAACAGTAGTTTTTAATCAGTTAATAAGTTAGGTTAATATAGGTAAATATTTTGAATGTATAAGTTACGACTGTAAAGTGTTCTCTCTCTGACATCATCTGACCTTTTTACGCTCTCCACCAGCCTTCAGCTAATCATGGAGGCAGAAGCCGAGGCCGAATCCATCAAAGTAAGTCATCCGCCATCTCTAATAATAAGACTCTATATTTAAAACAAAACTGTTTGTGTTATACATTATCTGTGTGTCTACTTCACTAAGCAGATATTGTGTTTGTAAATTAAGATGTTAGCTCACACACTTGCTCTGACCAGGTGAGAGGAGAGGCCGAAGCGTACGCTGTGGAGGCTAAAGGTCGTGCCGAGGCCGAGCAGATGGCCAAGAAAGCCGAGGCCTTTCAGCAATACAAAGAAGGAGCTATGGTGGACATGCTGCTGGAGAAACTGCCACTGGTGAGAGGGGTTGTAGAGTGAATTTCATTTTTAGTGTGTATGCAATACTAGGGTTGCCACCTGTCCCGGTTTTACCGGGATTGTCCTTCTTTTTAATAACCTGTCCCGGGGAATTTATGCACTCTCCCGGGACACTGAATGTCCCGGTTTTCGAAAGGCTACATGAATATGTATGTTCAAACTGTGTAGTGCGCGCACGACAGAGAGGGAGAGAGCGAGAGACTTTGTGTGTGTGCCTCAAAAAGCGCATGTAAGAAGCGCATGTAATAGCCTCCCCCCGTTGGGTGGGTCATCGATATGTAAAGAGGCGAATGTAAGATCCCCCAACCAACCCCCCCTCCCCGCCCCGTTGGGCAGGTCATCGATATGTCCCGTTTTTTTATCAGACATAGGTGGCAACCCTATGCAATACACAGAAAAATAGAGCATTTTATTGCAAAAAAGAGAGTTTCATCCTGGGTTACACTTTATTTTGATGGTCCACTTTAGATATTCTACTAACTATAAGTAACTTTGCATCTACATTATGCAGAGTTAACTCTCATTAGACTGTTAGTAGACTGTTAGGGTTAGATGTTGGGGTTCGGGTTAGTAGAATTAGTTGGCATGTAGTTGCAAAGTTAGGGTGTGTTCACACTTGTAGTTCAGTTTTTAACACTGAAGCTAAAGATACCAAACCTAAAGGCATTGGGATCCGTTTACAACCTGATTGGTCAGCTTTTATTACGTGTATTTTGTGACGGAACTTACCGAACATCCAAAACAATGCTGTGTACTGGGCTAAATGCGCTCGCTGTATGTGCGTAGCCTACATATGATGGTGTTTTGACTTGTGTATGAGCTTATAAAATGTGTAAAGGAGTCAAAACAGCGACAGGAATCCACACACACAAATGAAGATCTGCTGCGAGGAGACGCGGTTCTGATGCCTGTACCGAACTGTGATGCGCAACATCTCGACTATGATGAGAAGAAATGGGTATTCTTGAGCATTCTGTCCTTTTTAGGGTCGCATCTTGTGACATCATGTCCTGTTTTTGGGTCATTAGTATTTCAGGAAATGGATCGATAACCCATTTTATCAGCGGTCTCAGCTAGCTTGTTTGATGCACACCAGGGTTTGTACGGCAGCGTTCACACTTATTCACTCTTTTTGCCCTTTTTGTGAATAATCTAGCACAAGAGATAAAGTTAGCAAATTTGGGTATAGACATTGATGGTTTTAACCTCAGCATTTTATTATATGCAGATGATACTGTTGTTTGCGCAGATGAAGAAATTAAACTACAAAGAATGTTGGGCATTATGAAGGATTGGTGTAATAAATGGAGACTTTCTATAAATGGGGATAAAACACAAGTTGTCCATTTTAGGAAACCATCTGTGTTACGCAGTGAATTTGAGTTCTTTTTTGGACAAACACAGCTTATGTATTCCAGAACTTATAAATATCTTGGTTTCCTTTTTCATGAAAAAATGACATTCTCAGAAGGGAGAAGGGTTTTGTCTGAGTCTGCAGGGAGGGCCCTGGGAGCCGTTATTAATAGGTTGACGCTTTGCCCAGAAATAGGTTATGCAACTTTTACCCAGCTGTTTGACAGTATGGTGGGATCTATTTTGTTTTATGCAGCTGGGGTCTGGGGCTTTGAAGATGCGCCTGAATGTAATAGATTGCAGAGCAGGGCCTTGAGGTGTTTCCTTGGAGTGCACAGGTTCACTACTAGAGCTGCGCTAGAGGGAGATATGGGTTGGGAGCCTTGTATGGTGAAACAAAAGGTGGAATTAATAAGATTATGGAATCGTTTTATAAGATTACCTGAAGATAGACTTACTCGGAAAGTTTTTGATTGGGATAAAGCTCACAATTATCCTTGGTCAATGGAGGTCCTTGGAATACTTTCATCAGTAAAAGCACAGTATATATTTACAAATACTTTACAATGTGATATATCTCAGGTCAGGCAGGTTTTGTTTAATTCTTACAAAGAGCAATGGCAATGGCAGGTGTTAAATAAGCCTAAATTGAGAAGTTATGTCCACTTTAAAAATGAATATTCCACAGAGCCTTATGTTAAATGCTGGTTAACTAGGTTACAGAGGTCTTTGTGTGCCCAGCTTAGAGCTGGTGTGTTGCCCCTGCAGATTGAGGTGGGGCGCTATAAAGGTGTCCCAGAAGAGGATAGATTATGTGTTTTGTGTGATTTAATGGTGGTTGAGGATGAATGGCATTTTTTGTTTTTTTGTCCTTTATATCATGAATTAAGAATGGGTATGTTTGAGAGAATTCAACATAAAAAGCCTGATTTGTTTTGGATGACGGATGGGGATATGTTGAATTGGCTCTTTGAAAATGAAATTTATAGTTTAGCTAGATATGTGGAAAAGGCGTGGAAACTTAGGCAAAGGAATTCATATCCTGATCTAAATTGACGGTGTCTTGTCTTGTTTTGTTTGTTTTTATACTGTGAAAATGATGATGATATAGTTTTCTTTTTGATGGTTGTTTTCCTATGTGCTTTGTATGATGGTCATCTTTGTGTATTATGTTTGTTTTATGTCATTAGTGTCTTTTAAGCCTAAGGGCTGGGCATGTAAGTGCAAGACACTTTAATAAATAAATAATCTAATCTATTCAAATGAACCGCAATAACAGCAATCGCACCAGGGTTCGTTTTAATCGAATCAAACATGCCAAGTGTGAACACACCGTAAGTTATAGCTAGTAGAATGCCTAAAGTGGACCATCGAAATAAAGTGTTACCTCATCCTGCAAGGACTACAAAGCAGAAAGCTGTTTGATGCAGTTTGAGCTGACGTTGTGTATTGACGTTGAATTGTGTTTTTTCTATCCATTAGATGGCCGAGGAAATCAGCAAGCCTCTGTCAGCTGCCAATAAAGTCACCATGGTTTCCAGCGGAGGTGGAGAGATCGGCGCAGCCAAGCTGACCGGTGAAGTGCTTGACATCATGACCAGACTGCCTGAGACCATCGAGAAACTGACCGGCATCAGTATTTCCCAGGTGAAAACTGCATTTCAGATATACAAAAGTTCTTATCATGCAAATGATCATGACTTTATTTTGCTCATCGTGTCGTTTGTGCATATTTTTGCAAGTATAATTGACAGAATTTCTCTTCTCCTTTAGGTGGCCCGAACCGGTTGAACCCACTCTCCAACGTGACATTACTGTATGCATGCTTTATGGATCTTTCCTTTTATCATTCTCTCAGTTTCTTTCTTAAACTCTCTCCTCTTTCTGTAACAATATATTGCTCCTTTTATCTTTCTTGTCTTCTACTCTGCATCTCCTTTGTTTACTCTTTCCCATGTTTCTCTCTCTCTCGAGTCTCGACTTACACTTCCTGTCTGTCTTGCCTTGCTGCCAAAACCCAAAGTGCATTTTAATCTAAAACTCCAGGGAAGAATGCTATTCTTTGTATTTTTAATATAATCATCATAAGAACGTGAAGTCCAGGGATCTGTTGAACAGCATTAGACACTGTAGCTTTTGACATTTTGAAATGTTACATTCACCTTTAGTTTTTTGTATAGAGCACGCTGGGATGTGCACTAAGAGCATTACACGTTATACATGAGCTTTCCATTAGTTAACCTTTTGGAGGCCAACGTAACATGAAGGGAAACATATTTATTATGACTGATGTTTCTGTGGGTTATATAGGATACACTCTCACTTTACCTCAACGATGTGTTTAAGCTATCTTAGATGGACATTATTGTGTAGGAATTCTAGCAGTTATTCTGCTTCAAATGGTACTGTGCTTTGAAATCTGAAAATACTGCCAATAATCTCAGATCATCATTACCTGTGTTTAAGTGTTTATTCAAACGAACAATCAAATGTCTTTATATGTAATGCTGAAGTATAGGTCAGTAAATATGCTTTGTTGCTTATTTATTTCACAAATATTATTTGTAGGATTTTTGTATAGTTTGAAGTGTTTTCATTGCATGACTCAAGTGTACGATTAGATATTATACATTTGTATTGTTTCATCTTAAAGCAGACCATAATGTGTTCATCAAACTCTTATCGAAATAATTTCAATACCCCTTTTAACTTGTTTCATTAAAAAAGGGATTTTAAGGAGTTAAACAGATCTCCAAAATGTTTTGTTTGTGATTATACAGTATTTAATTTACAAACATTGTGATGAATGTTCTTTTTTCAAATGTTTAAATGTCAGTATAATATGTTGACACTTGACTTTTCATTAGATAAGCCTTCATAATTCATAAACAGTAATGACATCATTTGTCCCTTACATTTAATAATTACTAACATTATGACTGATGTGTAAACACTGTTATGGTACTATAGATGTTGTTTGTAATGCAGACTGAACTAACCACACATTATGACACTTTTGTATTTGTTTCTACAATCTTCATGACTAATATTTTTGAAGTAGAGTGCATTACTTGAAGGCTTTATTATTGGAGGGCAGATATTAGTTCGGCCTGTACAGTAATGTTTGGATTGATGTAGTATGCAGTATGCTGTGTAGGCTAGGGCTGCTATGTTAGTGTGCTGAAAGAAAAGCTGTTTTTGTCAATAGAAACTTTTTCTATTCTATTCAAAGTATCTATACAATTATGTACACAAATCTCCAATTTCATCTGTTTCAGCATGCATGCAAAGACTAACAAACCAAAACCATTGTGTTGTCTGTTTGTGCTTATGATGCCTTAAAGTAACATGCCTACTAAAATAAACATTTAACTATTTGTCCAGTCTAAATCAATTCATTTCAACGCACGTTCCCTGCAGGAGAATGCCAAACCCTAGTAAACGTGAACATGGTAAAGCGATTGATGGCCTAAGCTTGCGGCCCAAAGTTTACTGAAACCTTTGCAACCACATTGAATCCAGTTTATTGAATTCCACCATATTAAACTCAATTACCTAGCCATATTGAGGTCTCATTGCTTGACAAACTAGATCAATGAGACCTGTGCCTATATAGGCTCCGGTTGCCCCACATCCACAAATGTACAGAAGACACTTGTAATTGTAATGCATTTTTCAAGCTCTTAAAAAAATCTAAAAGAAAAGTCAAACAGCAAATTGTAATTTTTATCCAAATTTCATTGGACAATAACATGACTATTCCAAATAAAATATGTTTATCTTTTTTATTGTTCATATTAGGAGAAACAGTTACGTCAGATGAATGAGTGTTGATCTATACAGCAAAGTCATCTTAAAGAGTAGTTAATAATAAGTATTAGGAGTGACAGAAGTAACATTAATAATAATATTGAGAACCGTGTTATTTTCCAAAGACATATATGGATACAACGAGGATTATACGTGGAGGACTAGCCAATCACCTGGCTGCTTCCTGGACACAGATGGCATCATGTAGGTCAGTGATCGGATGGTTTAGCAATATGTTAACATCCCGTACTCTGATCTCTAATGTTGCCTTTAATACATTTTTTAAAAATCATATTTCAGCTGGACCAGAAAGACAATCCTTCCCTTTTAGAATGAACACGTCATCTCTATATTTATACACGCACACAGAGAGTAACTCCCAATGGATAATGATGATAGTAATAATTGCATAAAAAATAACAGTTAATATAATAACAACTAGTATTAAAGGTTTTTAAAAAAAAAACACTACTAAATAGTACCTGGTAACCAAATTGTTGTCTGCACAATATTTTTTCCCCTTCCTTCCTTTCTGAAAAACAAAAAACAAAAACTCTTTGTAAGGAAGGTCAAGAAAATATAAAATGACTAAACTTAAGGTTTAAAAAAAAAATCTGACAACTTTATAGATGTTTTCACACATTCATCTCCTTTTTAAAATGTTCTCTTACATGCTTTCAACCAACCCTTCACATACAAACATACATACACAAGGACAATAGAAAAATACATATGATAAATGGCTAAAATGTAACGACGAAAACAGAAACAATGAATAAAAAAAGTTCATTTAAGTGCCATCTCCCATAAACCATTAGCTTCTGTCCCTTTAGTGCAGTCTTGGCCTCCTCTTTCCAACAGGTCTCGGCTGGTAGTGACAAACCAGTTGCACGTTTACTTGACATGTCAATCAGCAGGCCTGCAAAGCAGTGTCATAAAAGCCATTAACACTCCATAAGTGCTTACAAAGTCATACGGATTTGGAACAACATAAGGGACAATAAATTAAATGTAATTATTGTGTGAACTCTTCGTGTATTGACCTGTTTAAATGCCGCAGGTACGTGTGCATCTTCCTGCAAAATATTTCATGTAAACTTGATCCAATTCTGTACAATTCATTTATCGGATACTTTGGTTTTCGTCCATTTTGTTTACCAGCATTTGTAACATTTATAAATTAGAAAAAAGTAAACTTGCCGGTTTTCACATCTTGATAAAAGCATATGGTAGTCTTTGTTAACTGCTACTCATGAAGTCGTCATGATGTATATCGGACTGTTTTTATTCATACTCGCACAATCCCTGAAGCAAATTCATTTTTGTTTTAGGTTTGTGTGTTCATCTAGGTAGTGATGGGAAAAATTTGATCGTGGACAAATTTTAATCACCAACATAAAATAAATTTGCTCAATTATCCCTTTTACACTGACAGTGCTTTATTCTCTGAAATGGGATAGTTTGAAAACATATGTACGAACTGTTCACTATCAATTTTATTTATGTAGACCATTAAATCAAACTAGCTCGCGGTGTTATAAAGAAGCGGAACGAAATTACTTGTTAAAATATGTTCTCAAAATTAGGTATAAGACCATGATGTGTTTATAGGAAGGTTTTGAAGTCAGTTATGACAATCTTTGGCTCTCAAATCATTGGAAACTCTTTGAGATGTTCACAAATCCCTATTTCAGAATGACTAATTTATAGTAACACTTCTTTTAATAACCCATGGTTCTTGCTGTGTAACTTTTTCAATGGCCTTGGTGTCTGGAAGTATTTTTCCCATAGGGAATTAAAAAAAATGTTTTCATTAAAGTTATAAACCATGAACCAAACCAACTAGCTATAGGGTGAATCTTCATTACACACCTTGATTTTGATTTTGAAAAAAGGTTCTAGTACTTGGCGCGATTAGCTTGTTGTGATTAGCTTGTTGGAGATGTCTTTGCAGAATCATGGCTAATGTAGTTTTTCATCAGGAATTTCACAATTAAACATAATTATTTAATAAAAAAATAAGGTGAAATAATGTTGGATTGATGGCTTCAATAGAAGCATATACCATTAATTGAACCTAGGAGCTCACAGTAGGTCTGTTTTGAATGTCTATAAGGGTGTGTTCACATTGGCATTTTTAACACCGAACCTAAAGGCATTGGGATACGTTCACAACCTGATTGGTCAGCTATATTTTGAGACGGAACTTACTGAACATCCAAAACAATGCTGTATTCTGGGCTAAATGCGCTCGCTGTGTGTGCGTAGCCTACATATGATGGTGTTTTGACCAGCTGAGAACTCGTGAAGAGCTTATAAAATGTGTAATCGTTTGCCTGTCTTTGATCCGTGCTGTTCATATTTCATTTGAACCGCATCAGAGTTTGTTTGGAAGCGTATCGAGACCCATCTTTTCAGCGATCTCGCTCCGCTTGTTTGATGCGCACCAGGGTTCAGATGGCAGCGCTCACACTTATTCAAATGAACTGAGCAATCGCACCAGGGTTCGTTTTAAACAAACCAAACATGCCAAGTGTGAACACACCCTAAGATATTGTTAAAAAATTTATTTCCCAATGTAGAAAATTATTGTGATTTTTACTTGCAGAAGCCGACTGTTGCACTTTATAGTGGCAAAAGGGGTTGAGTATTGAATATATTTAAACAGTTGACTGAAAATTGTCATCATGCTTAAGGCCTTTTTTGTGACACTGCAAAGCAAGTCTAAAGAAAGACAGCTCAAAGAGTTCATCTCTTCGTTTCTCCTCCATTTGCCATCCTTCCCTCCCTTCGTCCTACCAGTCTGAATGTGGAAATCCTCCTCTGTCCCAAGGCAGTGTTTTTATTTCCTTCCCAATTCATGGTCCATTTCTCCTCACCCCACCTCCTCGCTCTCATTCTCCTCGAGTTGCTCTACGAGTTCATGTGCTCCACCTGGATGGCAGAGGTGGAGACGGTGAGGCAGAGGTCTTTGTGGGCCGTCAGGTCGGCCACGCTGACAGGCTTGTACTGGATCTCTCCAGCCGACACGGTCTTGTACTGATGCAGGTCGAAAGGGCAGGGTATTCCCTCCGTCACGGAGTAACTGGTTGGCGCGTTGGGGTTGGGCTGGTTCTGGGCTTGCGCCGCTGGTCCCGCTCTGGCTCCCGCAGCTCCGCCGCCCCTTCCTCGCCCGCGACCCCTGCCGGTTCCTCCACCCGAGGGCTGAGCCGGGTTCTGGCCCTGCTGGGCTTGCTGGGCAGCCACTGCAGCCGCCACTGTCAGAGGGTCTGGGTTGTGTTTCCGCATGTGTTTCATCAGGTACGTCTCCTAGAAAAGTATCAAAAATAGAAAAATGTGTCAAACTCAAACATCTCTGACTAACTCCTATCTATAATTGTAGGAGAATAAAACTGAAGAATGACAAGACAGTCAATGAAGGATTCAGGCATTGTGGGAGGGATCTTACAGATGTGTATGCGCGGTTGCAGAGGCCACAGGAGTAGAGTTTGGCGTGTTTCACCGTATGTGTAGACAAGTGAACCTCCAAGCTGGTCGCATCTGTATAACCGCGGTTACAGTTGTGACATTTGTATGGCTTGTCCTTGTTGTGCTGTCTTCGATGAGACTGAAAAAACAGTCTGAATTAATACAAATATTTGGAAATGATTTATGTTAGTTCAGTGTCAGTTAGGAATGGGAATCATAAGGAGTGCAATGCCAATGTAATGCATTTACTGCCCTCTGTTGCCAAATTATGAGAATCTCAGATTTGACAAATCAAAAAAAAAAAAAAAAAAAATCAATCCAATTCTTGCAAAAGGCACATTTACAAACCTTTTAATGACATAAATGCAATCCAATATTTGGACCCAACTACACTATGGTTCAAAAGTTTTGGGTCAGAACGTTTTTTTTTTTAAAAGAAATTAATTATTTTATTCAGCGAGGACACATCAAATTGATCAAAAGTGACAGTAAAGTCTAATTAATGTCATTTAATGCTACACAACATTTCTATTTCAAATAAAGGCTGTTCTTTTGAACTTTCTATTTTCAAATAATCCTGCAAAAATGCATCACAGTTTCCACAAAAAAAATTAAGCAGCACAACTGTTTTCAACTGATAAAAATAAATATTTGTTGAGCATCAAATCAGCATATTAGAATGACTTATGAAGGATCATGTGACACTGAGGACTAGAGTTATGATGCTGAAAATTCAGCTTTACATCACACAGAAAGAAAAATGTGTTGAACAACCAGTTACTAAACTGATTTAGGTCTCAAATGACAAAATAGTTGATTTATGGTTCAGTAAAAGAGTCAGATAATGCAGCAACCACTCATTCTGATTTATAAGAGTTTTCAATTCAATAAAACGAACTGAAGAGTCAATAATTTTGGAACTGAAGTGGGCTTTCATTTGCATATGGCCTTATTGAATAGTAATTTTCAGTGTACTTTAGGACAGACTTCAGCCCGCAGTGGAACCAAAGCTCATTAAAAATGATTTGGTACAGTACTTTATTAAAAACAAAACTCTGTTCACAACCCTAGTGTCAGTTTATGCTGATCAGATACAAGTTTCTTGAACCACAGGATTTCAGTCACTTCTGCAGAAAGCTGAAATGTGTGAAAGCATCTAGAAATCTGAATATGGTTACCTGGAGGTTGGATAGTTGGGTAAAAGCTTTCTCACAGCCGGGATGGACACACTTGTACGGCCGATCGCCAGTGTGAATCCTTTAAAACAAAACAGTAGCATTTAATTAGAAATCTAGGATCTAAATATCAAAATCACATGACTACATTCTGCAGCGTCTACACAATCCTCACAACTACAGCATGACAGATGACAGACAACAGAGGAGGAAGGAAAGAGGAAAAGGATGCGAGGAGCTGTATATAGTCCAGTACTGATTCTCTCTCTCCCTGTCTGTTACCTGTTATGCTGCTGTAAGTGACTGAGCTGCCTGAAGGTTTTCTGGCAGTAGGAGCAGGTGTAGGGTTTGGCCCCGCTGTGGATGCGGATGTGCTGGGACAGGTAGCTGGAGTTGGCAAACGATTTGGAGCAGTGAGGACACTTGTGCGGTTTGCCCTCTGTGTGGTTTCTAACAAGGGATGAAGGGAAGGGGATGAAAAGAGAGAAAAAACAGAGAGAGATTCACCAATAAATCAATAAATGACCCCTATGTGGATCAAATCATGACTGTATCATAAAGATTTGCTGTAGGTTTCATGCTTTTAGCAATGTGACGGTGCTCTTTGTGGTGTCTGGGTTACAAAACGCAGCACACAAAAACACAAGGCACTTCATCTTATCCTCTCTCTCTCATTCTCTCTCTCACCAGCATCCTTTCCCCCTCCCTAACTATAGGTTTATATGAAACCACCCCAGAGCCTTTAAACCACAGCAGAATGAAGCAGATGAAACAGAGATGATGAAGATAAAGTGAGATGAAATTAAATTAAAGACTCATTCTTGTTAATAGCATAAAAATGAAATGGAAATAAGAGGAAAAGGACATGACATGCCAAATAATGTAGAGAAGAAACTTAAGTAATACAGAAGCAAACAAAGACTAAATGACGCTTTATATTCTTCAGGCTAGCTAGGAGCCCATTTAAGTGTATTCACTGTCAAGTAGTGTAGTTTTTACACACTAAAGGGACTAAAGTCAAAAATGATTAAGGCTGCCCCCAATAGGCGACTAAACATTAGTCGGCGAGAGGAGGCTTGGTTTATTCAATTTTAATTAGTCAGTCAGTCAAGGAAAAAAAAACTCCACAGGAACTGGTGTAGTCACGCAGTGACAGATCATAAACACGGCTGGTCTGGCCCAATAGATAGTTCACCCAAAAATGAAAATTCTGTCATCATTTACTCACCCTCAAGTTGTTCCAAACCTGCATAAATGTCTTTGTTCTGCTGAACACAAAAGAAGATATTTTGAAGAACCAACAAGTTGGTTTAAGTTATTGGGCACCATAGACTTCAATAGTAAAATATCTTTCTTTGTGTTCAGCAGATAAAATAAATGTATACAGGTTTGGAACAACTTGAGGGTGAGTAAATGATGACAGAATTTTTGGGTCAACTATCCCTTTAACATAAACCTGGATAAATGTGCACTAATATTAGGCTAATTTCTAAGTGTAAATGCGGAGTGTGGAAGCTAAATAAGTACAGCGCTTTACTGTACAGCATGTTTAACTTAAAGGAGAACTCCGGCGCAAAATGAACCTTTGGTCTAATAAAACATTGGTACCTAGTCAACCGTTCTCCGAGATTTGTTTTCATGATGATCGAATGTAAAGAGTTTTATCTCTAAAAACTGTTTAGCGTATAACGCTAGTAATGGGGGCATTTAATAAGTAAAAAGAAATCGCTAGTTTATACCACTAACAAGGCTCAAAATAGCCCCACACTAACACAGTAACATAATGAGGGTCCCTACATGCAAAACGAAGCATTGAGAACTTTGTAAGTGTACAGACCGTTTAATAAGAAGATATTTTATGAAGACAGTCCACTTCGTGTATACAGACAGGAGCCATCTTTGGAAAACAGTCTCGACTAATCAAACCACGAACGCCATTCATACAGTTCAGAAGTTCACTGAACTTCATACAGTTCAGCTCACTTAGCACGTCGTTCGTGGTTTGATTAGTCGAGACTGTTTTCCAAAGATGGCTCCTGTCTGTATACACGAAGTGGACTGTTGTCCAAGTCACGTGTTTTTTAATATATGACGTGAATTTAAAACATTAAATTAAAAAAAACTTTGTTAAAGTGCATAATGAAGAATACAATGTCAGTATAAATGGCAACAGGACATTGACAAACTTAAAGTGTACCAAATAAAGAAAATGAAAGTTAGTCATTGTGGTGTGTAAAATAAGACAAGCAGATGAGCGATGAGATTAGCATGAGTGAAAAAAGACCTGCTTCATTCTTCAGAGAATATATTGTCCTGTTTAAATTAGAAGTGTGTGCAAGCTCAAACGTCACAGCATCAGGGTAGGAAAGGGCAGGGAGGTATAAAGAGAAAGAGAGAATGGAAAAAGAGAAAGATAAACATGCCTATCCTAATCAAAAGCACAACTAGGCCAACTAAACAATGCCCTGGCAAGACGTGGGTCCATCCTGTAGGAGGTGTAGAGGTACATACTTTAGCAAGGTACACAACACACACACACTCACATACCGTGTATGCTGCTGTAAGTGACTGAGCTGTCTGAAGGTTTTCTGGCAGTAGGAGCAGGTGTAGGGTTTGGCGCCGCTGTGAATGCGGATGTGCTGCGCCAGATAGCTGGAGTTGGCAAAGGATTTAGAGCAGTGAGGACACTTGTGCGGCTTCGCCTCTGTGTGTGACTTGGCATGAATCTGCATGTCTGATTTGCTGAAGAACGTCACCGCACACATCCGGCACCTACAGAGAAAAATCAGCAGTGCGTTTGAATTAGAAATCCAAATTGCATTAGAAAGTGATAGTAGCTTCTTAATGGGACACCATCACCATACTTCGGGAGGGGAATTACCTCAAAGTATTGTATTGTTTTGTATTTGGGAAGGGAATTACCCTGAAATACTATAGAATTATATTGTATTTTATTGGGGATGGGAATTACCCCGAGTAATGTAGTATTGTATTATATCATATTGACAACCGGAGGTTGTCCGAATTGTCCATGGCGAAGTCAGATTAGTTTTGTATTCAGTAGGATGTATTTGTATTGAGAATTTCCACGACAACACTTTCAAGACCTTTAGTGAAGTTTTTTTACTTGAAATACTGATTCAGTGACAAAAATGTATCACAATACATCTCATAAATTCTAAATAATGCATTACATATATTATCTAGATATATGGATGCTTTCTTACTGAAAACAACCATTTTCCTGGTCAAAATGTCATGAAATTAAACTTATTAGAATAAAGTTCAAATAAGAGTACTAATAGACATGCAAACAGTGTTGGTGTGACCGTATAGACCAAAGAAACTTGCTTTTACAGTAGCATTTTAGTCTTTTACTGTTAAAAGTACGATCTTTTTTTTAGTCTTCTAAATACACACTAAAATCAATCAAATCAGATAATAAAGTATTAAATTAAAACCACAAAATAATTTGTTTTCAATTTATTCCCAAGATAATAGCAAATATTGAAGAAAATGGCTATATTTGTCAATAATTCCCTGTTTAAATTAAGATATTCCATAACCAATAATAGGTACCTGTAGGATTTGTTGCCATCTTTGCTTTGATGATCATCCTCATCGTTGGAGAGGTCATACGGGTCACTTGTGTTGTGCTGCAAGAGAGAAAACTTTTACTTATCCCTACCTTTAGTAGGGAAGCGTGTTTTGAGAGTCTTTTCAACAAATAACAACATCACAATAATAAACGTGCTCCATTTCTAACAATTTTAAGGTTTTTAAAGTATAAATCTGACCCCTTTTCATTGTTGACTGATTTGTTATAAACAAGAACTTCTGTATATGAAGGTAAAATTATGACACCTCAGCAACATCTCACCTGTCCCCCAGCGGCCAGGTGCGCAAGAATCAGCGCATCACTTCCTGTGGCGAGTGTGTGGGCTGAAACGGGACCTGCTCTTTGCATCATGGACTTCTTCTTTCTCCCCCGCTTTGCAGGAACTGGCATGACTACAGCAGGTGGGATACTGCCATCCTCTTTCTTGTCTGTTCATGTCAGGAGGGCAAAAAAACAAGAGTAATGTAATATTGATTATAAAACATAATGTGCATAATTTCTTCCTGCAAATGCATTCAGAAGATAAAGCCAATGAGGAGTTTTAAACTTGTGACAGAAACTCTTTACTGCACTTTTCAACAAAATGTCTGAAATTTTCAATGGTCTGACATGACCTACAAACATTAAGTCAATTATTTAGTAAACCTTTCAGATAAATTTCAATAAAACTGACCAAAATGTGTGCTAAAAACCTTATGCAATGTTGTAATGCCCCAACTTTTAAAGGTCTACCTTGGCAAAACATTGTGGTTTTCCAAACCAATGATCTTATTATGCCTGAGTACAAAGATTTCTCACCCAATTTTAAAGCTAATTGACTGTATTATATGAAATAATGTTGTTCTTATATGAATTTATTAATTTAACTGAAATCTTATCACAGCAAAAAGTGGTTGCTGACTGGTTATGTAAATACTATTAGTCAATAGCCATCACATTGCTAATCCATGTATTAAAGGGATAGTTGATCCAAAGTCTGTCATCATTTACTCATCCTCAAGTTGTTCCAGACCTGTACGAGTTTCTTTCTTCCAAATATCTTATTTTGTGTTCAGCAGAAGAAAGAAACTCATACAGGTCTGAAACAATTTGAGAGTGAGTAAATGATGACAGAGTTTTATTTTTTGGGTGATCTATCCCTTTAAAACCACTAAATGAATACACGGGGTAAATAAACTGTCATTTTATTGCAATAACTGCTTTAGTGATGTGTGAGTGAGTGTCATTGGAGGTTTCTGGTAGAGATGTACATGTGCTATTATACTTACAGTGGCTGTGGAGATAGAGGGAAGGGGACCGGACAGCCTCTGACAGGAAAAAGCAGAACATACTCAACATATAGAGCTCCCTGTCCCTCCCTCTCTCTCTCCATCCATCATCCATCCCTTCTCACTACCTCCCACAGTCACTATCACTTCCTACAGCTTCTTTGGGTCTGAGAATGGCTGCTTAAGCAAGTGAAATTTAAAAAAGATTATAGGGTATCTGCAGGTTCAGCACTTCCAATTTAAAGGTGCAGTAGGTGATCTGGGAAATGCTAATGTTAGCCTGCTAGCATTGAAAGCCTACGATCCCACCCTCCCTGCAAATCGCCGTCCAAAGCCACACCTTCTCCAAAACACGATTGCACACAGCTCTCTGCAAAGCGTCACGAGAGACGGCGTTAAACTACCTCATGTCTCAAAGCACATATCATTACAATAATAATGAAAGTAAACAACTTGGAGAGCTTGTACCTGGCTGCTGCAGATTCATTTCAGTGTTGCTACTGTTGACATGGATACGCATAATTCTGAGTCTGAGAACGTATATATATATATATATATATATACATACACTTGTGTGTGTGTGTGTGTGTTTATACAGTATATGTACAAAAAAAACATTAATTATGTTATAATGAATAAATGCAAGTTTAATACTATTTATTGAAGTTCTATACATAATTCATATTTTATACATAATAACAATCTTATTTCTAACCTTATACTTTTGGTTTTACCACTATGAATATTTATTTAAAGGTGGATATGATGGAAGGGTCTGAACGGTCAGTTAAATTGTTTACCTGTGTTTGTTGGGTGCAGAGCGGACACAATCATGGTCGTTGTTTGTGGTCCAGAAACAAAAGACTGAGAGGAGGAAGGAGGAGTGACCAGTGCGCCCTGAGGAGTCGTGATCACTAACCCCGCTGAGAGACAGAAGGGAAACACATGATTTGAAGACCTCATTAACATTTGATATCTGTAATTTTTAGTTAATATCTCTTTACTTTGAGATAACTTTGAACACCCACCAGCCGTCATGATGCCAGTAGTTGGTACGGGCACCACTGTGATGTTCTGGGACGTGTGAGGTGGGTGCAGGTGTGCTCCAACGGCAGTCATTTGCGCCCCTGCTGTCCCGGCTCCTCCTCCTCCACCACCACCCTCCTGTTTCGGCACCCTCCCGATGGCTCCCGTGTCCATGGCGACCGAGCCTGGCACCGTCAGCACCGCCGTAGGGTAGTGCGCCGCGGACGAGTGCGGAAAGGAAGCGCCCTTGTCCGGTCCCAGCTGTTCTTTCATCTTGTTCAGAAACATGGCGTTCTCAATCTAAAATCGCAGGGGGGAATGAATGGGAAAAAAAAAAAAAAGGGAAAAAAGGAACGGAGGAAAGAGAGAAGGATGATGGATTGAGAGATAACACAGATGAAGGATGAAGGGGGGAAAAGGAGAGAGCAGCGAGGGAAGGGTTACTTTTTCTCAATGCTTGTGCTGGGCTTCCAGTGTGTAACTTTCACATGGATCAGTGCGAGGCTGGTGTTAGCCATCCCGGACTGGTATGCTTGTTTTGTTTTTTTGATTTACTAAATTGTGCTCAATAAGCATGGTGTGTCTGTTAAAGACACAACGATGTACTGTACAAGAGTCCAATAATAAGGTGTCTACCTGTCCTTGTACTGTTGGTACGGGAGACCAAAAGTATGATGAGTTGAAATGGGAATCTTCCATTATTTCTGCAATTGAAAAGCAACATAACTTGTAAAACACCCACTCTGCCTTTACCAACAGTTGTGAAATGACACCTCGCCCCTATGTTTCTCTTGTGGCCTGAAGATTTATTCACTCACTTGGACCAGACTTATTCATTTTGGCACCCAAGTACCTTGCATTACATTTATTTTCTTAATTTCTTTGAAACATCTGTCAAAAGTCATGCATTTTTACTCTCTTGACTTTATTTATCTTTAGGCAAAGGATAAAAAAAAGCATCTTTCCGGTGGATGGCAAAGAGGCGTGTTGGGTTAGGAATCACGATACATGCACAACCCAATGTGTACAACATAACTGACACAAATGAATAACATAAAAATGCATGCATGCCCTCTCAGCCTGCATATTACCTCCCTGCAGGAAAAACAGCTTGAACCAAGCAACAAGCCTAAGATGTTTTATTGGTCTCTCAAACCAGCCAAGCTGGTGCTCAGCTGGTTTAAAGTTGGCATGAAACGGAATTTGCGCTAGTCTTTTCTTCTTTATTGTGACGTGTATCAGAGTGAAACGTCTTTTCAAACAAGAAAAAATGTAGGACGGGACTTGATTTAATACATGGGGAATTGATTTGATGTTTGGATGGTTGTGGTTTGCTGTTGCTGTGATGTCATGTGAGTGACAGGTTGTCCCGCCCCTACACCAAACACCGTCATCAGAGAAGAGGGCTGCATCCGAAATCACATATTCTCTTCTTGAATAAGTACTTATTTTGAATAAGTAATTACCGCTAAAAAAAGTATGTTCTATATAGTATGAATGTAACCTTGACATACTACATAGTAAGTTAGGTTTCTTCAATGCCATTTACAAATCCTCTCCCATGGCCTTCTGGGATAGTAAAGCGTCCATCATATGCACACTTCAGAATCTCGGAAGTATAGGTCTTTCTGTCTACTCTTTTATGAGTACCCTGATTTCAGAAATTCTTCTTTTGACACATACAGTTGTGTATGTGATTTCGTATGCAGCCGTGATGTCGCTGCAATAGAGGGTATGCGCGTGACGTCACCCTTCGGCCGGAGGGACTGCGGTTACGCCCACTAAGTGGCAAAAAGACTGAATGGCAGCATTTGTTTTCAGCCTGAATGGCGCGAAAAACACATCTACAACTGGAAAGAGCTTTGCGATTGACTGTACAACTAGACTTGACAAAAAAATCTGAGGTATATTTTTACAGACAGCCGAAAGCTACAGAACAGAGAAGCAAATGGATCGCTGCAATTCATAGAAACAACTGGACTCCAGGCAGCAAAATATGGATTTTCAGTTATCATTCTGTGTCAATATGCTGAATTTAGGGGTAAAACCATACCCTAGGCTATATATTGTATTGTTGTTATATAGTATTGACAACTCATCAATTAAATTATCATCGTATATTCTGCATAATTGGACGTTTTTAAATAAACACTGACAAAAAACTATATAAGTTTTATGACGATATATAACATTGATTTAAGTGATCACATGGATTTAGACCTACCTATATTGTATTTATATAAAGGAAAATTTGCTTTATGTATTTCCCCGGTGTGGAAATCAGGCACATATAAATGTCAGGAAACATGATTCCTGGCTGCATGTCAATATCCATGATCACTGGATCTTTGGTAAGTTGTAAGGAACACTATATCGAGTCCAACCTTTAGTTTAAACTGATTATTTTTTGTTTTACTTGTGTTTTCGCAGTTTCCCCTATTAACTCCAGTCACGCAGCAGCTCTTTTGCCACTCAGTCCAGCTGAGGTGTGTTCCGACAGGAAAGTGACGTCAATGCATACCCTCTATTGGGGTGGCTGGGAGGGAGATTGAATAAAGATAACAAATGCACATGAATTTTAAAACAATTATGTGCATTGAGATAAATCTTTTATAAAAAATACTGCAATATTCCATTAAAATATATATTTTTTAATGATTTCATGGTTTAAAGTTTTGACAAACTAGTCTACAAGCTAAAACCAGTCAAGTCCATACTGTGACATTCGTCTGAGTGTAATGGATTATTGAAAAAACATGTAGGGCGGGGCATTTTGAGATGTGGGCATTGCATTTAAAAAAGGAGGCAGATGAACATGAGCCTGCAGGGGCGGAGTTTAAGCAAACTAATTAATTGGAGGAGTCCTGCATACATCACCAGAGAAAAGCCTGTCGTTTTCACTAAAAAAAATCCAGTTATGACATTTTCATTAAACATTACAAGGTCAAATAAACGGAGCAGTTCCCACACCATTGGTGCTCGGGCCCTAAACATTAAACACATGCACGGATGAATTGTTCACAATAAAATCATCACATGCATTTAGAAAATATGGTGAAATTTTATTTCATACTGACTTTAAACCAGCCAACAAACTACAATGACCAAGCTGGGAGACCAGCGAACTAGCTTAGGCTGGCTAAAAAAAATAATTCAGCAGGGCTATATTAGTGACATTTTTATAAAAAATGTAAAACAAAGAGGCAAAATAAAAGTATAACACTTCGACTATTTTATATTTCATTTTCTTTTAAAAAACACACACACAATTTGTTGCTGCCTGTAGCACTGCACCGCTAATTGTTTAATTGCACGAAAGATACAGAACTTGCATTGAGAATCGCGCGCGCTATAAATAGGCATCAAAACAAAAGCAGCGACCCTGCGCCAAATCTGTGTGCGACCGATGATCGTAAGAAAAAAAACAGATCAAATGTGCAAGTAAACCTCCAAGTCAACTTTTGTGGATATCTGACCGTCTTTCATTTCATATGCATGCCAAAATAAAAACCAAGTGAGGTGAACAATGACGCGTTTTATTTGTTTTGTAAGGGTTGCATCCGTGTTTTGCTACAATGACATCTCATTTTGCATGTTTCTATCTAGTGGGACAAGGTTAATGACATATGCATGAACAATCTAAAGTAAAGGTAGCTGGAAAAGCACAAAACCATCTATTAATGATATCAGGGCTTCCTCAACCAGCCTCCATTAAAATGTCAGCTTTTGTTATGCACGCAAAGAAAGCAGCACTATCCAAAAGCTATGCAACATGTAAACTTCCGCTTGCAAACAATAATGTCCCTATGCCTCCATCCCTCTCTCGGTTAGTCTCACTGAGAAAATAAAAAAGAAAAAAAACTCGAGGATAAAAAAAAAACCGAAGAGAGAAAAAAAAAACGTCGACGCCAATGCGAGAGAGACGCAGCTTCATGCAGACTTCCGGCTGGCGAGACAGGGGGAGAAGCGCCCGCGTGAGTTGCTCAAATTTGGAGAAATAATTCACAATTGACTCATAACTCTGTGTTAATTACCGGTGCTGGCGATTCCCTTTCAACCCCCAGGGCTCCTCCGGGCCGGGACAGTTCGGAAACTTCGTCCAAATCCGCCCGAACCCCTTGGATTCACCGATTTTTTTCCCTTAATTTTTTTTTCTATTTTTTTCTCTCTCGAAGGGCTGTCCGACTTCGCTCGACTACACTTCCTGTGAATGAGGTCAAAATTACAAAAAGCTTACCGCCAAATTCACTTCCGCCATGTGAGGTCGTTTTTTTTTTGTTGCAAATTTTTTTTTTAAATGATGTTCGAAAATCACCATGTATTTGCATATCATGCATATTAATAAGAATAATTATGTGAAGAAATATGAACACGTTGCAACCAGGTTAATATGTATGGAAATATGAGTGCTTGTACATGTATGGTGCATAACATTGTACATTTATATTTGTAATACAGCCTGTTCTTTTACGTATGTTATTACTCATTCTATATAATGTATTTATTTATTCATTGTATGAGAAGATGTTTACATTTTATTGTCAACAAGTACTATCTTTTTGCACATTTGACAAATAAACATTTATAAACTATATTTAAATAGCAAAAAAAAAGAAAGAAAAAAAAAGATATATGGTCCTCTGTTATTCACAAAAAATAAATTGTTACCATGAAAAGGCTGAAAACTGTATGTTTGGTGGTGTTTCGCTCCCCCATGTGGGCGGGGTTATTGAATGCTTTGTATTGATTGGTTCCGATTCGACCAATGACAGCTCAGCGGGAGAAGCGACTACACACACACATTTTCAATTTGAAATCCAAACGGCTACGAAAGATTATTGCGCTGGGGTGTGTTTCCAGTCATTGTAATTACTAGATCGGTTTATAAAAGGTTAGTGGTTTTTAAAAATATATACCTCAACCGTAAGTTTGATAGTTTATATATTAGTCTTTATGTGGATTTGAAGATATATAGAAATTAATTGTATAAATATGTGCGGTGTTTTGTAAAGTTACGCGAATGACGTCGGCTAGGTTGCGATGTTTTTAGCCACTGTTTGTTTTCGTTAATTCACATTAAACATTTTTATAAGTAATTTGTAGTTTGCTGATTTCATCTTTTATTGTATACGTTTACCTTGCTGACTAACGTTAATTAACCCTTTTAATGTTTTGGGCTTTGTATTTATTTTGTGCTTGACTTCAAGAAGAGCTGAACAAGATCCATGAGCAAAGAGGTGAGATTATAAACATGCAAATAGGATATACATGCTCAACAAGTTCAAATCAACATGCATGCATAAGGAGCCCAACCTACTTGTTCAGTTTAAACGATATGAAGTATTATGCACTACTAACATACATCAGCAGTTTAGTTTTGAAAGCATTATTCCTAAACTACATCTCCTTTGTTTTGGTTTTCAAGTCTCTGAAATAGCTCTGCTGTCATGTGTACCTTTTGAAAGTCTGTTCATGTCATTCTCTTGGTTGTTTTGCAGACTGCAATATCCCGTCTCCCTGTAATGTCTGGGAAACGGGCTCACACCAGCAACACGGATGGGGAGTACCAACAGCCTGCGCAAGTGAGTTTGTAGTTCATTCAGATTTCACATCATTCAACACAAATTCTCACTTTTGGGTGGGAATCCATATTTGAATATATTTAATGATAACCATCCTAATTTGTTGCAGAAAAAGATGCGTAAGGTTGACGCCGAGCCGTCTCAGAGGTTCAGACCTGCAGCAAGTGTTGCGCCCCCGAGACGGCCTTTGCCAGTCAAAGCTCTTGGTAAGTTATATTCAAATTTAATTTTTTTAGTTTTAGCTTTTGGGTTCTATTTGGCTAAAATAGCGTGCTGTCTCTCTTCTTTCAGCCAAACCTATTCGTCCGACTGGAGCCGCAACAGTGGCTGTTGCCCCCTCAAGAGGTATTGCAAGACATGTAGCTTTTAGGGAGATCCTTTAAAGTCAGCATGAAATCAAAATGACTTTTTTATGGAATATAGCAGTATTTATTTGAAATTATTTTATTATCTTTTTAAATTCATATGCCCTTCTAATCTTTAATCAAAATTACTCATGGCATCTTTTCTGATGATGTGTTTACTGGCACGAGGGCGGGGCAACCTGTCACTCACATGAGATCACAGCATTAGTAAACAACGATCCAATCAATTCCCCATGGACAAAATCAAGTCCCGCCCTACTTTTTTTTTCTTTTTTTTCGAGAAGCCATTTCACTGAAATCTACAGCACAATAGGGAAGAAAAGACAGCTTCCATTTCATTCCGACTTTAACTAGTCATAAGCACAAACACACACACAAAAACTTGCATAACACTACTAAAACCAGGTGATTAGTACAAAAATATGGGTCAAACTATTCACCTGTCTTTATGTCCATTTGTATATCAATGAACTTGGATATTATAGTTTTAAAGAAATATCAGAAGTTGGAATATGTCAACATAACTTAAATTTAGTCTTTCCATCAAGGTGACCAGAGAAGACCAGTTGCAGCAGTTGCTAAAGGTAATATAACGTGTGTGTTTGTATGGGTTAAAATATTTTCCTATGTTTTCATTTGTAAATATGTTTGAATTTACAAAACTTTAACATAACACAAGACTACTATTGGTTCATTTATCCACTTTCAGCAACTGCAGGTTCAAGTCTGTCACGAAGGCCAGGATGGGACCTGAAGGGTAAAGTCAGTGATATGGAGACTAAAGTCCAGAGCTACCAGAGCAAAGTAAAATCTGTAAATCAGGAAAACGAGTGTCTCAAAGAGTCAATAAACAAAGCCCAAAAGTGTAAGGCTGAAATCGAAGAGGAGAATATTGGTCTCAAAAAGCATCTCAGGTAAGTGTAAAAAATAACTCCATAACAAATCAGAACCTGGTGGCCCTTCATTTATTTGTCCGATAATATTCCTGATTCTGTTGTAGGGATTGTGAAGAGGAGCTGGTAAAGCTGGCTACTGTGAAAGATGACCTGGCACAAGCCTCTAAAGAGAGAGATGGACTTAAGAAAGACCTCAGCAAGCTAACCGAGGACCATAAGGTTTTGGAAGGGCTCAGGGATCATTTGGAGTCTGAGCTGCGCAATGTACAGGTATACATCTACACGGCCCCATTTAACCCTGGTGTTCATATCTGTCTCAAGGGATCTGACACTTATCAAACTGTAACATCCTTGTGTTTTTCCTCAGACTCAGCTCTCCATTCAGACCTCTGCACTGGGGCGGTGTCAAGACAGTTTGAAGGAGAGCCAAGAACTGGTCAGGAACCTTGAGGAAACAGTGGCCCGTCAACGAGAAGAGCTCCACTCTGGAGAAATGGAGCGAAGGAAACTCCACAATACCATTCAAGAGCTCAAGGTAAGCTGTGATGAAGACCTATGTGTGTTGTTGTTGTTTTGTATGACATTAAGTGATAGATCCTATCCATACATGACCGAAATGCATTCTGTTGTTTGCTTAGTTTCAATTTGTCACATTGTCTGTGTCTGAAATCACATACTCTCTGAGTAGGTACTTCTTTTGAATAAGTAATTACTTCACCATTTGACCTATAAGTGTCAGTTGTCACTTCTCTGCCATGCACAAATCCTCTACCCTCTTGGGGTAGTAAAGTGTCCATCTCACCAGAAGTAGTAGGTCTTTAGTTTTGCCTGCTCTTATGAGTACTGTGACTTGAGACAAACTGCTCATCACACTGTTTATTGCGTACTGTATCGTAGGGAAGTATGCGATTTTGGATCCAGCCATTATACTGGGCAGCTTTGCACTGTCAGATGTCATTGGTCCAAAATCCCACTAATATTTTCAAGTATTTAGTCATGTTGTATGTGCATATATGCATTCATTAATCACACTTTATTTTTTTTAGGGCAACATCCGAGTGTTTTGTAGAGTCCGCCCATTGCTGACTGGCAATCAGTCTGATATTCTGCACATCCAGCTGCCGGCCCACGACAATAAGGCTCTGACGCTTGCCAAAATGGAAGAGGTAAATTCTTCTCATCATGCTTCTGGTTTTATGGATGTTTCTTCTTTGTATAACCTAAAGCAGGGGTTCTCAACACTGGCCATCGAGGTCCACTTTCCTGCAGAGTTTAGCTCCAACCCTAATCAAACACAACTGAACAAGTTAATCAAGGTCTTCAGGATTACTGTAAAGTTACAGACGGGTGAGTTATGTCAAGGCTGGAGCAAAACTCTGCAGGAAATTGGGATCAGAGTTGAGAACCACTGACTCAAAGTATGTGACAAAGAACCCCTCTGATTTTCCACTTCTCTTTCTCAGTCGCACACAGGTCGCACTGCTGACACACACAAGAACTACAACTTCAGCTTCGACCGCGTGTTTGGGCCGCGTTCCTCACAGTGTGAGGTTTTCGAAGAGATTTCCCTTCTGGTGCAGTCTGCTCTGGATGGGTACAACGTTTGCTGCTTTGCTTATGGGCAAACTGGCAGCGGGAAGACCTTTACTATGGAAGGGGGCAATCTGGAGGATTTGTCGGGGGTCATCCCACGTGCTGTCCAGCAAATCTTTAAGTCTGCCAAAGCACTCCAAGAGCAAGGGTGGCAGGTAAGGGCTACATAGAATTTCATCTGTTGTCCAAAAGAGGTTACCGTATTTTCCGCACTATAAGGCGCACTTAAAAGCCTTTAATTTTCTCAAAAAACGACAGTGCGCCTTATAATCCGGAGCGCCTTATATATGGATCAATTGGTTAATAACGCTCCGCGTTATTAAATTCGCCCGCGAACTCGCGCTCGTGTCCATCTTATGGCCGCTCTGTCAGACTGTCACACGGCCAGTTCAACCTCGTATAAACCAGGTTATGTGTGTAAGTCACTCAAGAGCACTCACTCTTACTAAACAGACACACGAACAGACAAACTGTCCCCGGCGCTGCTCGCAATGTATGTCGCGAGCCCTCTGAACATTTGAGTGATCTGATAGTAAGCGTGCTTGCTCGTGAGCGAGCTCGCGACATACATTCACAATCTGACCGGTAGTGCTTAGATACGGCGGCTCGCTGACAGCGATGGCACGCTGTTTCATATATGACGCCCCGGTTACCTTGAACGGGGAACGTTTTCTGAGAGCTTTGTAGCGAGTGCCCGGCGCCGGAGGCGAGGCGTTTATTAATAAGCGTGAGCGCGCTGGGGCGGGCACGCAACTTACATTCGCAGCCTCGCGCTCGTGTCCATCTTATGGCCGCTCTGTCAGACTGTCACACGGCCAGTTCAACCTCGTATAAATCAGGTTATGTGTGAAAGTCGCGTGCCCGCTCACGAGCGCTCACTCTTACTAACAGACACACGAACAGACACACTGTCCCCGGCGCTGCTCGCGCGTCACAGAATGTTCATAAAGCGCTCCCCGTTCACAGTAACCGGGTCGTCTCATTCAAAACAGCCAGCTGTTGCTGTCAGCGAGCCGCCGCACATGAATACTCATATGAGTCAGGCTGCGAATGTAAGTTACGTGCCCGCCCCAGCGCGCTCACGCTTATTAATAAACGCCTCGGCTCCGGCGCCGCGCACTCGCTACAAAGCTCTCAGAAAACGTTCCCCGTTCAAGGTAACCGGGGCGTCATATATGAAACAGTGTGCCATCGCTGTCAGCGAGCCGCCGTATCTAAGCACTACCGGTCAGATTGTGAAAGTATGTCGCGAGCTCGCTCACGAGCAAGCGCGCTTACTATCAGATCACTCAAATGTTCAGAGGGCTCGCGACATACATTCGATATATATGTCGTACATATATTCCCTTTAGCACATCTAGTGGATGCATAACGCAAACCCAGTCAAACGTTTGACTGCAGTATCTTATGCGCCTTATAATCCGGTGCGCCCTATATATGAATTTTTTTCTAAAATAGCTCATTCATTGAAGGTGCGCCTTATAATCCGGTGCGCCTTATAGTGCGGAAAATACGGTAAATATGTTGTGATGTATCTTTTCAGGGCATCCCTCATCATGGTTTGTTTATTAATGGGGTGTTCTTGGGTTGGTATTTTTAGTACACCTTCACCGCCAGCTTTGTGGAGATCTACAATGAGACACTTCGAGATCTTCTCTTCAAGGGAAAACCAAACAAGAGACCTGAACATGAGATCAGGAAGATCTCCAACAATGAGATCACAGTTACCAACCTAACCTACCAAAAAGTTAACAATGAGGATGAGGTACTGCTCGTTTAAAGCGCATTGTTTATTATAAATGATTTATCAGTGCACATTAGTATTTTATAAAAAAAAATGTATGTGTCTTCCTCCTTTCATTCGATAAGCAGTTTAACTTTGACACAAAAGGAAAGAAAAGATGGTCACAATTTCCTGCTATAAATTTTCTCCCTAAAGCTTTGTTAAAATTCGTAGTAATCCCAGTTATAATTGATTTGTTTATATTGTTTCATACATGCTCTTTGCAGTTTATTAATGTGCCTCTTTCTTTCCTCACGTCTCAGGTGCAGAACTTGATCATGTTGGCAAACCAGAACCGGTCCACTGCCCGCACAGGCATGAACGATCACTCGTCACGTTCTCACTCGGTGTTCCAGCTAGACATAGAGGGGGAGAACTCTGCTCGAGACTCCAAGTGCAAGTGTAAGAGTCACATACTACCTTCTCTTCTTAAAGGGGTGTAGATGTCCAATTTAGGGTAGTCTTCATGTGTAATGAGTTTGTCAAAGTCAGATATGATATTTCACATTGATGCCTGATTTTAACTGTATTGATTTGCTTTTCAGCCACGCTGTGTCTAGTGGATTTGGCCGGCAGTGAGAGAGTACAGAAGAGTCAGTCTCAAGGAGAACGTTTCAAGGAAATGACTTCCATCAACTCTTCCCTCACCAACCTGGGAATTGTGATCGCTGCTTTGGCCAACAAGGTACATTTTTAGCTAAATATATGGAACCTAATGCTGAGCTATTGGGGAATTGAACACTCTTATCTCACTTAAGGCCCGTTCACACGAAGAACTATAATGATAAAGATATTATTCTAAGCACGTGCTTTTCTGTCACTTTAAATGCTCGAGCTTGTTACTGCAGGATGGATTCTGATAGGCTGTTGATGTTTTTATCATTCATCAGCTGGATAAAATCATTCTGAAAGTGATTCTAAAAATACTGTTTCTCTGTTCCATTATCGTTATAGTTGTGGTGTGAACTCTGCTATTCTTTAATATTGAGAACGATTTTAGAACTGTTTCAAACAGATTCTCTCTCTCTATCTATCTATCATCATCCTTTGTATAAACGGGCCTTTAGTATATAAAACTTATTTTCAAAACTAGTTTTCTAAAATTCGTGGTGCATTATTAGATGTAGAAAATGTCTTCAGTTAAAAAAAAAAGTTTACTTGCTGTGCAATAATGATTTCACGCACTCAATTTCTTACTCAACTTTTCAGGAGAGCTTTGTTCCCTACCGTAACTCAAAGCTCACGTACCTCCTCCAGAACTGCCTCGGAGGCAACAGCAAAACGTAAGCAAAATGCTCAAGTACATGTTTTATTGCCTGTGTTGTAGTTTTCTTTGAGTTTTTGCTGAATATAATTCTTTCATTGTTGTTTAAAGGAACATTTGACTTATTTCTTTACCTCTGTACAGTTTGATGTTTGTGAATATATCACCTGAGGAAGAGAGTTTCAGTGAATCGCTGAATTCTCTGCGCTTTGCCAGCAAGGTGAGTGATCTTATGTGATCACATGTAAGTGTTTTATTTTATGAGAATATAGAACACAAGTCTATAACTCATGCTTGCTGTGTTGCAGGTGAACGACTGTGTCATCGGAACAGCCTCAGCCAATCGGAAGTAGTTTAGCTGAGTTCATTTCTGAACATCCACTGGTCATTTTTAAATGTTTCAAACTTCAGCTATTTTATGTTTATCCTAATCTCTCCTGTCTTTTGCATCTTTTTATATTTCTGTAATGCAATTTATATTTTTGTGATGCATTTTAATGTACAATCTTACTAGCAGACAATTATTTTTATTGTTGTTTTACAACCATTAAATGCATATTGTGCTTCAGAGAGATCAATAAATTTTCCATTTTGGCCAAATGGAAGTGCAGTTGTGAGCCTGAATATGATGCCAAGTGGACAAAGTTTGGACAATTTTGTTCTTTGGAAAGCTTAATTTGCTTGCTGTGAAAATACAAAGGAGTTGTTTCCCTTACAAACTAATTACCATAGTAAACATGGTTTGTCAAAATACTTGTTACTATAATAAAACAGGTAATTTAGCCACTGTTATCATAAGAAATAAAATTTCACAGGCTGTCAATGTTTGAAAGTGATTCAATGTTATACTATAAGGGTGATTTTGATAAAACAACAACAATAATATTAAGAGCCACTGTTGATAGTACCAATAATGATTTCTGAAGGATCACGTGACACCGAAGATTGGAGTAATGGCTGCTGAGAATTCAGTTTTGCATGAATAAATTATAAAAATATGCGAGTAGAAAAGCTTTTGAATTGTATCTTTTCCTTCCACACAATTAAACGTAATATACATGGAGAAAATAGCAAAAGTTTATTGACTAGGAATCTGAAGCGAAAAATAAACTAACGAAGGAAATGGTTGTGGCACTTAAAGTAAAATGTCCTGACTGTTTACGAATTTAGTCCCTTTACGCAGTTAAATGCGCTTAAAAAGTACACAATTTACTGAGTCGTAATAATTATACCAACATGAGGCAATATAAAGTCTTTAGACAAAACTTAAAGAAGAAGAGTTTTAGATGAAGTATAGCTACTGTGACGTGTCATATAAACTGCTCGAATGTTGCTATGGCAAATATGGTTACACGGCAATTTTTTGTATGTGGTACATGGTTATAAAATCTATAGATTCAGAAACAGCTTTGAAACAGCAGCACTTGTTGCCATGACAATAGTGAATGGGATCCAGTGTTTGTTTGGTTCCTTTTTTTGTCGGCCGAGTCTAGAGCAGCTGTCTGGGATCTCTTAAAGGTAAAACCAGACTCCGAACCAGATGTCGGTCCACCATTACGCTCGGCATTCCCGAACGGTGGGAAACATCGACTTATCATAATGAAAACCCCCCTTTTGAGTGCCTGACGGAGATATTTAAATCGGTAAGATATCTTGTTCGATAAAAAGAGACTGATTTATGAGACGATCCTCTTCCGTGCTTCTTAAGGCCACACGGATTCGCTTGGCAGCGGCTGGCTAACGTAAATAACATGGTAAATAAGAGCAGTCCGCGAACCCCTTTGATTTCTGACGCGATCAGTTCAAAATGGATGTGCGAATTTATACGTGGCGAATTTCATTTTAATGGCACCACGCTGACAGCGAGCGTCTAAAAGCACGGAGTGTTTGTTGATCATCAAACACCAATGCAACTTTCATAGATAGCAAAATATCTACGTCATCTGAGGCATTATAACCGGGTCTGAGAAAACTACATTCATGTAAATTCTCATTGTTAGAAAACGGAAAGGCTTCTTGACACGCCAATAAAGTGAATAAATAAAGTGTTCATGCAGTGCCTGGTCAATGCCCCTTGTTCTTTGGACCTACATTATCATTTGCTGGGTCCATAGAGAATTAAAGCATACTTGATCTAAATGAATGCTGTATTCTGTCTGTTTAATTTTTCAGCAGCTGTTCTTTTATATATACTTATGAACTTGCTTTAGTCCTATATATACATATTATATAAAATAAGAATAACATTATATACATTTGGTTTTCCATGCCAAAGTGGAAATCATTAATTTTCAATGTAAATGTCAATTTTATGCAAATGAACTAAAAATCCAGTCCAGAATGTTTAAGGGAATCCGTTTATGTAATGCAGTTGTCACTCTGGTTTACAACTAAACTGTGTGAATGCAAATAATGCAAATATTCAGCACTTTAAAACAGGACTGACAACCATATTCAGCTTCTATGTAGCTTGTGTAATGTAAGTTTTGCATTGACAAATTATTATGTGATGGTTATTTTGTGATGCTCATTGTCTTGCAGGAATGGAGTCGGGCACAGCGGACCAAGGCTATGGTGACTCTGTGGGTTCAGCCACTGGTTCAGTGGTGCAGGTTTGCTTCCCCAGCGTGCAGACATCAGTGCTGGACAGCCTTAATCGGCAGCGTGAAGAAGGCCATCTCTGCGACCTCTCCATCCATGTTCAGGGTCAGGTGTTCAAGGCCCACCGGTGTGTGCTGGCTGCATCGTCACCATACTTTCATGACCAGGTATGTCTTTATCTAAATGCTGTAAATAAAAGTGATGTCCTGTTTGCTGACATTTTTGATGTTCATTGAAATTCTAAATGGCCCACCCTCTTGGTTACTGTTGGATGGTGTTTTAAAATGAGGAGACATAAAGACATATCTTAGTGGCTGAGTTGTTTACTCACTTTTTAATTAGTCTTTCCATTAACGCCATCATTAACTTCATTCAGGCCGATTCGAAAACTCGCACCAAAACAAGAGGCGGGATTTATCACACAAACCAATCATATCCAGTTATAACCGATTACCGTCTCACGTGACTTTCCACCATTCATTCTCAATTACCCGCACGCTTTAGGGGGTCTGTTAAAACTCAATGGACTCAGAGGAGGCAAGAGAGACGCGCTGAGACTCCTGGTGTAACTTTACCCGAGGGCGTCGCTGTTGGACAGTGTTGCTTTATAAAAACGAATGACTTTTACACTTTTTAATGTCATATTTTGTAACATTTGCATCGTTTTATTTTTGTAATATCGATTATTTTCTTATCTATTTTTTTTTTTTTGAGGAGACACTGCCTCACTTGCCTCCTCTGAGGAACGTATATATAGGAAACGCATACGTATAAGAAAAAATGGCAGAAAGTTTGTCACATTATAGCCGCGTTTCCACCGCAGGAACTTTCCCCAGGAACTAGGAACTTTGGGGTGGTACTCCGTGTGTTTACACCGCAGGAACCAGGGTCTAAATGAAGTTCCAGGTAAAAATGTCCCCCCCAGAAAGTCCCTGGTGGCGAGGTAGTACTTTTTCAGAGTTCAGGAACTTTCGGGGTGGGACTTGTGCGCTGAACATGCTGATTGGTTCTTTTACTTTGTTCTCTCTGCCGGATGGCGCGCGTTCGTCCCATCCATCTCACGGTCATGTCCGCTATAGCTGATGTTGTCTAGTAAACCAATAGATCGCACACAAAAACAGCACAGCTTGAATCTCCTCAATACTTAAAACTCAAAACAAGTACGCGCAGACTGGGAGGAGCAGTCGCACGCAGTTCAACGTCACCAGACTAATCTTCCCGGTACTTTAGTCCACGGTGTAAACGCAGTGAGCAACCGTTCTGGGGCAAAAAAAGTTCCTATGAAAAAAGTTCCTGGGACAAATAGTTCCTGGTAATTGCGGTGGAAACGCGGCTTATGTCACTATTATAAGCAGGGCCGTAGCTAGAGGATTCGGGGCCTCCTGAAAAAATATTGATGTGGGCCCCCACCACCCTCCACCAATATCACACTGTACAATAGATGAACATGGAGGCCCACATATAACAGAAGATGGTGATGTTGTTGTAAAACCTTTATTTTAAAAGTTAAATGTTTATTCAAAAATTACAACTAATAAAAACTAACAAAAAGCAAGAAATTGTTAAATAAAAATAAAACCAATTTTTAAAAAGTAATAATTTTTTTCCCCATCAGTCTGTTATAATTCATAAATAAAAAAAGTAAACATTTAGAAATTGACAAGAATGCAGTCTAATTAAAAAAATAAAACCATTCATTGTCTTATTTTTTAATAAAGATAATATGGAACTGGTAATATTATTAAATAAAGCGAATACATTTATTCATCCAAGTGCAGTGTGCTGTATTCTTGTTTTCTCGATTGTTTAAAATATCATCAGCCGGCAGGTCAGATGCATAATGCAATGCGTCGTGACTCGTGTAATTTTTTTAAAACTCTATTTACAATAGTGTAAAAAGACAGGAATTTAGACCACGTAATCATTCGGTCGATTGTGGCGCGCACCGATAATAAAAAATGACTGTACACGGCAGACTGTAGACGGAAGTTTTCTAATTCCCAGCGAAATAACAATATATAACCGGTCTTTAAGAACGTCTTGATCGACTGGGATACAACCACTCTCCTTGCCTCCCTCTCCGTCTTTTCCTGGCATTCCTGGTTCCCTGATTTATGTTTTCTTTTTTTCCCGACATTTTTCAGTCAGTTAGTCTCCTGCTCTTCCACCAAGTTCATCGTTATCTTCTTCAGGCTGCCGCCTCAACTCTGATTGGTTCTGTTCACGAGCTGGGGTGGGACTTACAATTTTATTGGGTCCATCTGATGTTTGTCACTGACTCTGACTGAATAATTAATAAATACTTTAGGTCGGACTAAACCATTTTTATGGAGGTAAGAGAAGCAGATATTTGGAAAAATATTTACCCAAATTGCACGTTTTTGTGGTTTTCATTTAAATCTCAGGCATACAACTAATATAAATATTAGAATTATTCATACAACAGGGGCCTAAATAGTATAACTGCTGGATTTTGTGGGGCCCCCTGGGCAGCGGGGGCCCCTATAATTGTCACCACCTTTCACCCCACTAGCGACGGCCCTGATTATAAGCGTGTCATCAGCAACATTTTATCATATTTTTAGGTCATTTCTAAAATGCATTCAAAACTATTCAACCATTACACACATGCTTCAATAGACATTAAACAAGAGCAAAAACTTGTCAGACAATATGATGACCGCAGCAGTTTCCAAGGTGGGATTGGCCTGTAATGGTTTTTAAGGCACAAATGAACAATTAGCCAATTTCAGAATAATCTCTGCAATTAGCAATATCAGAATCCTTCATTTCTTGTTTGCAAGGTGCTGCTGAAGAACATGTCCACCGTCTCCATCCCGGCCGTCATGGACCCCCTGGCCTTTGAGAGCGTCCTCAGTTGTGCGTATACTGGCCAGCTGCGAATGCTCCGCGAAGACATTGTTAACTACCTCACCGTTGGCAGTGTGCTTCAAATGTGGCACATTGTGGACAAATGCACTGAGCTTCTCAGAGAGGGC